GCAAGCTCTCCTCCTGCTGCTTGCTTAACTAGTTTTAAACAAATAAATAACTAGTTTAACTAGTTTTAGTCTCCCACCCGCCACCCGCCACCCCCCCCCCGCTCCGTCAGGCTCTGCCGCTGTTAAGCGCTCTGAGACCCTGCGCGGCGTGGAGGGCACTATTATAAGTGCAAGTTGTTGTCGTAGCTCCACCCTCGTCGCCAGGGCTTCGGCTTGTTGGGTTAACAGGAGCCGAGTGAGAATCATCCCTTGCGTCCGACTGACAGGTCTGCCGCCCCCCCCCCACCCCCACCACCTCGCCCACCACCCCTACCACCACCTCACCCCCCCACCCTCACCACCTCGCCCCCCCCCCCTCTCCAAGTCCGACCACTGAGTCAGCTCAAAAGCCTGGAACCAACTGGCGTTGGATTTTCAGGTCGGCGACGACCTGTCAGACCATCAGTCGGGTAAGAGAGAGAGAGAGAGAGAGAGAGAGGGGGCGCGGGCGGCAGACTCCGCCGTCACCCCGGTTTCCACTCAACAGCACGGAGGCGAACCGGGACGTGCCACATTTGCTGTCACAAGCCTTTTCTGGGGTGTTGTGTTGTGGGGTGGGGGGGCTGGCGGTAATAATCCCCCCCCAAAAAAAATGCGGGGGGGGGTGGGGGAAGGAAGGGGGTCACTCAATCCGCGGCCGTTTGTGGGACGCGGCCGCGCTTCGCCCACAACCGTACACCGTCGCGACACTTTGCAGCGTAATCCCGCGAAGCGCTCCGAGGCGTCGCGAAGACGTGGTGGGTACGGCGCTGGGTCAAAGGCAAGGATTATTATTATTATTATTATTATTATTATTAAGCGTCAGCTGGTGAAGCAGACCTCCCTCTGGAGAGAGAGAGAGAGAGTTCAATTCCAGGCAGAGGGTGAAACCTTGGGCAAGTTTCCTTACTCCACACAGAGCCTAATAATAATCCCTCCAAAACCAAAAACAATAATAAATTGGTCATTTTCAATCCACGACTGTTTGTGGGACATTGCTGTGCGCCATTGGCTGCCGCGTTCGCCCACAAATATACAGTCAATTCACTTTACAGTGTGTTCTGTGAAGCGCTTTGGGACGTCCTCCCGACGTGAAAAGCGCTATATCAAATGCGAGGATTATTATTATTGTTATTATTATTATTATATGTGTGTATAACCGGTGGCTGTTTACCGGCGCGGGTGATGGTGACGCGCTCTCAGCCGTTTTGATTGATTTGTTGCTGCTTTCCTAACCAAATCCGAATATATTATACTCTCTCTCTCTCTATATATATATATATACATTAAAAAAAATACAATAAATTTTTTTTTAAAAAAAAACAGCCCCCAACCAAATAAAAAAAAGAGGTACGTTTCGGGGTCCGGGAACCGGGCACCGGGACAGCAGAACGGTTTTTTTTTAAAAAAAAGCGTCGGCGGGAGGGTTGAGCGCAGGTGTCCCCTCACCCGGTGCAGGAGGCCGGCGGTGCGGAGCGCGGGCTCCGGGGTAACATGGCGGTTGGCGGTTGGCGGCGCCGCTCCGGCCCTCGCAGCCGTTATCTCTCTCCGCTCGAGCGCAGGGGTCCGGGTGTGCGCAGGCGCAGGCTCCCTCCTCCGCTCCACCTTGTGCGCAGGCGCCGGCTTTCCTGTTCGACCCCCCCCCCTCCCCTCTCCCACCACCGTTCCACCTTGTGCGCAGGCGCAGACTCCCCCCTCCCCCGCCTCTGCCTCCGCTCCAGCTTGTGCGCAGGCGCCGGCGCAGGCTCCGCCCCCCCCCACCCCTCCCCCACCTCTGCCTCCGCTCCACCTTGTGCGCAGGCGCCGGCGCAGGCTCCGCCCCCCCCTCCCCTCCGCCTCTGCCTCCGCTCCACCTTGTGCGCAGGCGCCAACTCCCTCCTCTCCAGCCCTCCCAGTCCACCTGTCAATCATTCCATCTGCCACTTGTGGTGTCAGGTCCAGTGCAGTGCAGTGCACTCCAGTCCAGTGCAATGCAAATTGGGTGGCAGCTGCAGATAAACCAAGGCGCAGCTTAATCAGGCGGCGTCCGCGGCGGGAGGGCAGCGAGCTAACGTTTGCAGGTCGACGACCGGCCCTTTCATCCGTCCCGACGAAAGGCTCATCGACCCGAAACGCTGGCCGGCTTTCCTCTCTCCATAGATGCCGCCCGACCTGCTGCGTGCTCCCGGCCACCTTCTGCTTTTATATGTATATACACACACACACATATATATTTCAGATTCATGGAGTCCTGTGGCTCAGTGGTTAGAGCACTCGCTTTGCAAGTGAGAGACCTGAGATCAATTCCAGGCAGAGGGCGAAACCTTGGGCAAGTTTCCTTACTCCACACAGAGCCTAATAATAATCCCTCCAATACCAAAAACAATAATAAATTGGTCATTTTCAATCTACGACTGTTTGTGGGACATTGCTGTGCGCAATTGGCTGCCGCGTTCGCCCACAAATATACAGTCAATTCACTTTACAGTCTATCCTGTGAAGCGCTTTGAGACGTCGAGAAGATGTGAAAAGCGCTATATCAAATGCAAGGATTATTATTATTATTATTATTTCCAGCGTCTGCAGTATTTTCCCTCTTTGCAGCTTTTGTTGTTTTTGGGTTTTTTTTTTCTTTTGGTTAATCTCTCGGGAGGATTTAAGGATGTTGACCGAAGGCACAGGGCAAGATAAGTTTGTAAAAGGGAGCGAGGCTGGCTGCTAAGATTTTGTGTGAGTTTCAGAGAACGAGGGCACCAACAGCTATAAAGCCACAGCTCCAATGGGGTAAACAGAAGTGACAAGTAGCAATTGACCCAAATACAATTTCACGTGATGTAGGCAGTATTTTTTTTATATATAAACGCAGTCATTCTTTCCTCCCTCCAACCTATTTAATAAATTAAGAAACTCGGCTATGAGATTCAAAGGAGAAAGCTTTGCAACTTGAAGGTTGAATTTAATCAGAATTTAAACTTCTTGTTTTCATTCTCGCACCCACAGTCTCCTTCCTCAATATCAACACGTCTTCTGATCCATTCTAACTGCACAAAGACCCAAAAGAATGCGTTAATGGCTATTATTTGTTCTGGTTTAATTGTAATCGTCTTTTTTTAAATTAAGGCCTGGTACAAATTTAGCTGCTGTATTTGATGGGCTCAGGATTCTCATACACTTTTGAGTGGGTCTGCGATCTTCTAACCCCCTACCACTCACTCTACTCAATGTGCTCCGGCCTGCTTCACGACCCCGCCTCGCCCGCCCCACCCATGGCAGGTGGACCTTTTTCCACTCTGCTCCCACCCTCTGAAACACCATCCCGCAGTCCATCCGCCTCTCCCCCTCCCTTGCCTCCTTCAAAACCTGTCTCAGACCCTTCTCTTCAACTGTGCCTTAAGTCACCCTCCTTCTCCAAACCCCCCCACCCTGCCCTCGACGCCTCCCCTATCCTGACCGCCAGCTCAGGTCCGAAGCAATGATGCCCAATGCCTTGAAACGTCCTCCTGACGTGAAAGGCGGTACACAAATGTAATTTTGTTGGTCTGACGTTATGCTCGTGATCAGAACACTATTTCTCATTGAGGTACGTGACTTCACCGTATTAAGTCACCAATGAGAAATTGTTAAAAGTTAAACTAGTTTAGGACGTTCCCTGAAAAATGAGACTGTTTCAAAATATCCTGTGCTGTCTCCCCGGCCATGTCAGTTCAGAACACTGCTTGGGTCAGTAAACATTTCTTCAGAGGATAAAGTTGTTCTACCAAATTCTCGAACAGGTTGAACGCAAACTTTCTTCGAAACAAAAATACCTTTCAGCTTGGACATCAGCAAAATGATCGCCCAACAAATCAAATGTTGTCACATCAAGGCTCAATTATGGAAACTCCCTCCTCGTCAGCTTTCCCAACTCTTCCCTTCACAAACTGCAGATCATCCAAAACTCTGCAGCTCGTGTACTCTCGTCACCAGGCTGTGTGACCCCATCACCCCCACCCTCGCCCGACTCCATCCCCCAGAGGATCAAGTTCAAGATCCTCGCCCCCTCCAACCTCTCTGACCTGCTGACTCCCTACCAACCTGCCCGCTCCCTCCGTTCAGCGGCCTCCATTCTGCTCCATGTCACCTACCCGACCCACCCTACCATCGATGGCCGGGCTTTCAGCCTCTCTGCCCCCACGCTCTGGAACATCCCACGATCCTTTCGCCTCGCTTCCTCCCTCGCTTCCTTCAACGCCGGTCTCAAGACCCTTCTCTTCAACCGTGCCTTTGGTCAGCCTCCCACCTCTCTGCCTTTCCTCACCCCTACAGCACCCCTCTCCCATGTTTGGGCCCCGACACCTGACTGATCAGCGCTTTGGGACGTCCTCCCGCCGTGAAAATTTTGTTGTTTGCATCAATCCTTTTTAGAATGAGCTTGTTCCAGCAAACAGGTGCAATGAACTTGTGCTCGTGGTAGATACTGCCAATTGAATGCAGACTTTTCAGGGACAGACAGATGTATTGTTAGGCTGGTGAGAGATATATGAAGTGCACTGGTCAAGATCAAAATTCATTGTCTGGAGAGCCATAATGACCATCAGAAGCAATGTCCAGATTGGATGAACACTTAACCTGCACGGTCAGACTCACTGTATGTGTAAATTAAATTGGGATCACAGGTTCAAATCACCATCAACGTAATGAGATGCTTTTTGCAACAGTGAAGTTTGCACTCATTTACAAAAAAGTGAATTTTTAAATCTCCAGCATTCCAGCCACTATTTTTCAATTGGATAGTTGGCAGCTGTCTCAACCGATCAACACTGCACTCGATTTCACAGCCAACGGGTTATTTATTGACACCAAGGCCTGTAACAGCTCATCATCTGGCATACTTTTTAAAATGTATTTATTGATGAAATAAAAATCAAAGTAAGTGACAATATTTTCTTCCAATTCATATTCCCATATGAAAATGTTCCCACAACAAAAAAATTTCGCCAAGGAAAAATGGACTTTAAAAAGTATTTTAAAAAATGAGAAATAGCATTTAATTTTGTAGTGCTCAACCCAATAGGTACACTGTCCAAACAAAACTACAATTCTGCCATTGAACTACTGACAACCAGTTTTAAAGTCAGTTTCATAGATGAAACACCATTAAGGAAGCATGCAACATTACCATAACATTCCCCAATAAAAGTATAAATGAAAAATGATGTACAATACAAGGCAGAAAATGCAGCTGAAAGTTAGTTTTAACAAAGAAAATCAAGATGACAGCTAGTTCTTAAGGTAATGGCTCAATGAACTTTTCTAAATCATTGAATAACACCATACTAAAAGGGTGCGAAATACTGATATTATTTCAAAGTATGTGGGCCACAAACTTTAAAAAATAGATGGAAGCCTTCATGACAACGAACATTAATCTGGTTCTCTTACATCGCAAAAGATATTTGATACTGGTTCAGTGCAAAGTCAGCTCCTGGCAATATCTTCATAAACAAAGAGGTAAACTAATTTCAATGTTTCACACATCATGTAAACAGGGAACGATTAGTTGATTGCAGTGAATATTTTTCCAAGTGTCTACCAAATGGTTTTCAGGCATCCACGGGCATGTGAGAAAAGATTGTGAGAACCACACTTTAATCGACATTAGCTTTTATGAAATAAACAAAGTGGTAAAGTTTACAATATTGTTACAACCCTACAATATTGTTACTGTACGGGTTCCAGAGCACTGTAGAGTAAGGAAGACAATTTCCTTCCCCTTCCCCACCCCAAGATACTGATGCTCAGTTTAGACGGGGAGTGGGATACAGTTATCAGCATCATAATGGATTCTTTATCCGCTGCTTCTCGCTCTTAAAAGATACACTAAGACTTACTGGAGGACAGGATCTAAAGCAACCTGGAGGTAACACTGCCATTTCGTATCAGTTCCGACAATTGCAATTATAAATAGAACATATGTCCTTCACCCATAACCATTAGCTACAAGATATACTGACCAAAGCAAGTTAATAAATAGACAAAGTAGGAGTAGCCGAAGAGAAAAATGGCATTAAAACGCTGAAGCTAATTTAACTGCAAGGTCTGTCTCCTTTAAAATGTTATTACACGATTACCAAAACTTTTCCAACGACTTATGGAAGAAAACCAGCACTGTAATTTCCAAATTTATCTTCAAACCTATGTTGAAAGTACTACAGAAGTAAGTACTACATCAGCTCTTTAAAATTAAGTTAGCATTTAAAAACAAAACAATAGCTTGTTATTTTCTCCTCTGAAATGTTACCCGTCTGAACCCATGCACACAAATCAGATTAAGATGCAATTAAGATTCATAACATCAACAGGTCACAAAGATCTAGTTCTCCTGACATGCATTAGAAGATGAAATTCAAAAAACTAGTTTGGCGTGTTTAATATTAACAATGGTGTACAAAATATTTTGACAAAACCTGTTTTTTTATTTGATTTTTGTTTAATTCGAAGAGCACAAACAGCCTGTGAAACGGATTGCTGAAAAACAGAACTATTGTGTTTCACAAGTCTTTGCCACGTATCACCTTCCACAGGTGTATTTGGAAGTTTTATAGACTGCACAACACAACCATTCTTGGTAAGATTTTATTGTGTTCTGGAGAGGGCACTAATTACCTTTGTTGTCAGCAGTCAATCAGCTACGTAGCCGAAATATCTGGCTACCAAAGTAGTAGTGTAGTTGCTATCTTGGTTTCGTGAAAGTATTTTTGGGCGAGTAATTATTTTTAACATTGCCACTGGCCAATGGATGCTAATTTCCACTATGCTAATGTTGCAGAACACTTCGTAACTAAGACGGACTACAAGTTTAAAAAAAATCAACAAAAAGGTCCATTTATTCCTTTAAACAAGAGTGGAAGCAAACTGGATTCAGCCGCTCGCTCTTCACATGTCCTGGACTCTTGGGTCAAATAGTGAAGCTAGGCCGTTATCTTCTGCTGCCTCCTCTTCGATTGGCGTTGGTGGGGTCTGTGGTTTTGGTTTCTTAAAAAGGGAGGGAAGGTTTTTGATATGCACCTCCTTTTTGAACTTTTGCCCAAGCGGTTTCTGGAAAGAGAAAGGTTTTAATCATTCCACTTCATTGAACTAACCAAATTGTGCTGCATGCAATAACCTTACAGACATTTAAGTTCCATTATTATGGCACTGTGAAACCTTCCCCCTTAAAAGAGTTGCCTGATCTCAGGATTATAGTGGTCAGCTCAAACAAACGGAGTGCTTGGGACCAAAAGAAACCTAACGCGCAGCAAAAATTCCCAGTTTGAGCCAACACAATTAGCTACAGGAAGTTTAAAATAAGGGCATTCATTTCGTTCTCGTTGCTGTCCTTTGGCACTGCTTGAAAAGAGAAGGGAGTTTCTCGCAGTATTGTGGCAAACAATTCCACCAAGAGAGAGAAAAAAATCACACTACTGAAATGTTATGAATTGTTTTGACACATACATGTACAAAATGCAACAATTTTTACTGTAGTAGGATCCCATTTATCAGGGACAGTTGTGCCAAGTCTCAGGTGTGAAATGCTATTGTTCTAATACACTGTATACCCTAATATCTGGGATAGTTGTAGATTCTCACATTAAATAAGACCTGAATTCATGTGTAATTATGCATACCTATGTGCACACAAACCTAACACACATATCCTTTTATAGTTACGACCCAATTTTATGCAACGGATGCGTGTGGAACAAACGCTTAGAAACCATCGATGAACTTACCCCAATACAACCTGACAGAAGTTTCTTGAAGAGATCCTTCCTCCTTTTATCACCCATTTTATGAGACGAAGGGTTCAAAAGCTTCTGGTCAAACTGTTCCAAAGCATCTATAGAGATGTGAGGAATCTGCTGCATCACTGTTTTTATATCAGGGTGCCGTGGTCTCTACAAGAAAGAATCCACAAAAAAGTCACGTCTGCAATACAGAAATTAAAGTAAAGACTGAATTATAATAAAAAAAACAGGTGTCTAATGTTAACTACTGAATTCTCTCTCTCTCAATTGCTAAGGGTCATTACGTTTAAAAACCTTATAATCTGCATACCTGGGCAACAGATTAAAATTACAGAAAATATTCAAATAAGATTTGTTTCAGTACATCTGAAAGTACAATCTTCCACTAGTATCCAAAAAATCAGTTTTTGATCTACCAAATTACATGGTGATCCTGTTGCGTCTATTGTGGACCCAGAAGAACCTATCACACCAAATCAGAACTTTTTGTATATACAGCAGTCTTAACCTTGATGCTGAGTTGTTGTGGGGAGGTGACCATAATGTGGCGACATCAATTTTTTTAATATAGTCCATCAGTCTGGATATAATAGCATTAGTACTAATTCAATTGCTTATATGATCCGGTACCATTATTAACTAACTGAAGGTCCCTGATAGTTTTTGATCTACCAAATTACATGGTGATCCTGTTGCGTCTATTGTGGACCCAGAAGATCCACTATCCACAGTATCTGTTATGGACTATACCGGAGCCCAGTAAACATGGCTGCCAGCACTGACCAGCTGTTTTCCCCAATCAGGTCACTCACTGCTGATGTCACTTTCTGCGCATTGCACATCACTTCAAAGGACACGTCAGTGCCACTTCCTGAACATAATGCATATGCACAGGGAAGGACGTCAGTGGTGATTTGACAATCCAGAAGTCTGCCGTTTTTCGGTGCTTCTTTGCAGCCTGTGAAATACTAAGAAGGTTGCACTGTAACTGGGTTGACCTGTATGTGAACACTGTATATAGATAATGTCCTATACAAGTGTACATACACCTACATTTAAGTGAAAAAATTGTATTTTCTAGTGATAGTTCAAAAGAACTTTGAAAACTGTGCCTGCAGCAGTTATAATGCAAATTGTTCACAGAAGACTTTACATACCATTGCCTCGTAGATCAGGAATGCTAGATTAACTAGTGCAGCAAGGCAGCCTTCATGTTGTCCATGCATCTGCAACCCTCTGAGCACACTCATCAAAAACCAACTGGCTGCATCAGAGTGTAGGTTTGATAGTGTAACCTGAACAGAAAAGAATACCATTTCAATAATGACCGTAACAGCAAAGAAACACTAACAGCTAAAAATTGCATGAAAGAATTGCAGAAATTGAACAAAATCCAATTGCTACTTTGAAAGTCATTAGACAACAAAGTCATGAAAAAACATGTAGAACAAATGTTAAAAGTGGTAATCAATTAATCAATAAATGGTGTATTACGTGAAGAGTAGTAACTATGCGGAAAGAGAGAAATTGGGAGAAAGATTAGCTCTCAGGAAATCACATTTTTGGAGGAGGTACAAAGCTAATATGAATTCAAAGTCTTGATATAACAAACAACACGACAGTACCACTGACCTACAGAGATTCTCACCTGTTTAATTAGTGGCCAACATAGTTGCAGTGTTGCTCTCTGACATGTTATAGTGTCATTCCACGAGATGGCACTATAAGCAGTTACCAACAACGTCTTGCAGAATTCCTGAAAGAAACAACTTGCTTTTGTTAAAAAAAATCTCAATTCAAAATCTGAAGGGAAGCAATATGATCAGAATCAGCACTCAATTCTAAAAGAGTGAGCAATGGAAACTAAAAGTGCCATGATAGCACCATTAAATGTAGTAAATGTTCAGTAAAAGGTGCTGCTCTGGCTTACATTCATTCTCCTATCTCTTGAGTTCCCTTCTCCTCATCAAAGTATTTTGTCCAGTCTAAAACAAGTGAATGTCCTATAAAACTCTACCTCAGATTTCAAGAGACTTTTCCCAAGTTCAGTGAGTTCTTCGGCTCCAGTGTGTGGACCATCATTTGTGCTCATCATTTCGTCATCTATAAAAGAGCAAACATTTAGCAGACTAGCAATTACTTATTTTACCAATGCAACGGATGTAAATACAACTCTCAACTCGATGACAACCTAAAGCTAAAATTGCAGATTGGATTGACTGGTTTCTAGGTTTCACACTAAACTAAGCTTTTGATAAACCTTAGCAAAGCTCCAGATATTCTCCCTTTAACCATTTTTCCCCAAATAAAAGGTTATTTTCAAAGGGTCACATGGGTTATTTTCGGTAAGAAGGCAACTGTCAAGGACAATTCCAAACAAATCTCACCACCCTCGGTCACTGAAGCCAACCAGAACGACCATGAATAGTTTGAACAGGCAATCCTTCCCTCCTTCAACCCTCACTGATACATTCAATAATCATGGGATATGCTATCCTGGCCCACGCAAGTTGCAATTAAGTTTAATTTTGAAAACTCACATTCTCTCTCCATACCCAGACTCCCTATCAAAGAAATCAGTTTAATATTCCCAACCACTTCCCAGGAAAGGAGTGCAAAGTACTTCTGAATTTGCAGAATAATGTATGGCACAAACCCAATAGGTTAAATGGCTCCAGATAAGCCAGTTTTAAAATAAACCAAAATAAACTTCTTAAAATCGTGTCTATTCTTAATGGGATTCTGAGCTCATAATTCAAGCTGACACTACATTGTCAGAGGCACTGTCAAATGGGTGAGACCTTAAAGGTGCAATCTGCCTGTTCAGGTGGATATTAAAGATCCTGTGATGGTTTGTAAAAGGTTTGGTTAGTGAGATTGTGAACCTTACTGCCTGAAGCAATGATTGAATCAGATAGTAAAGATGCATTCAACAGGAAGTTAGACCTTCACATGAGGGAGATGAGAAGAGAAGGGAATGGAAGGGAGTAAAGGAATGGTTGGAGACTCTTGTCGAGTATATACGCTGGCACGAACTGGTTGGGCTGCATGGCATGTTTCCACGCTGAAGATTCTTTGCAAATCTTTGTAGAGCAACAAGCTTTACAAAGTCAATGCACAGTGAAATTAAGCCAGACGTAACCAGTGGAATAAGGCCAACTAAGAATTAATTTGTGGCTTGAGAAAGCACCTATAGTTCAACTTCAACCTTGATCGTTTGCAGTGTAAATAAAACTAAAAGCTTACAATCTGTGACTGATGTGCACAGTCATTTCTGCAGAATTGATGATTGTTTTAAACAGAACATTAACTCTCCAATAAAGTTGTAAATCACATACCTTCCATGTCACCACAAAAAGGCTCTGGACCCCTTTTGACACAACAACAAACTGCTGCAAGCATACAAGAAAAGCCTTTTAGAAAACATTTTCACAATTACAATACTGAAAACTGAATAAACACTTATTTGAAAAAAAGATTGAGCTGATTTTAGTACAGGCTACAGGGAAATTAAAGATACTTTTACAGGAAACACTAACTGAAAGTGCTCGAGAATATTTTTCACTTTCTTTCTTTGCACCATTTCCATTCAGGACACAATACACAAAAAATAAAATAATAACAATCTGGCCACTTAATCCATGGCTGGTTGTGGGACACTGCTGTGCGCAATTGCCTGCAGGTTTTGGCCATAAAATGTACAGTCAATTCACTTTACAGTATATTTTGTGAAGGGCAATGAGATGTCTTAAAGACATGACAAGTTGCTATATCAAATTCAAGTATTATTATTATTATAATACTGCAAATCTCCTTCAGAGTTCTGCAGAATAATAATCTAAAATCACTTGAAAGAAATGACCTTATTTTCTTCCTTGGTGAGGTTGTAGCAAGCTTCCAATACATAAAATACACACATACATATATAGCAGGTACAATTGGAAAATTGCACCTAATGCCCCCAAGAATTGTAAGACTTTGCATGGCAGCCAGTCACAGAGCTTAGAATTTTGCATATCAGCAGCTGGATGACCATTATATGACATCTAAGGCGGGGAGAAAGCAACCACTAGCTGAATACAACAACCATAGAAATGTCTAGAAAGAATATCTCCTACCATTAATACCTATAACCCAATTGTCATCTGGCGTTTTGCTGAAAGGGAGCAGATTGCAGCTTCACCCAAATTTCAGCAGTTTGCTTGTCGGGATAGATATCACCGTTATATGTTGTCATATTTTCCAGGTTGGGATCTCAAACTTTACAGCACAGATCAAGATGTTTCCCATGATTCAGTGAAGCCAGCCGGGAAGTGCATGAATCAATGGGTTAGGACATTGTTTCCCGCGATTCAAAGCAAACAGGTAGTAACGGAAGGCGGGGGGGCAGCATTACGAGTCAGGAGGTGATTAATACGAGTGGTGCAAAGAAACCAAAATGGTTTTGCCAGGAAACTTACGTGAATTTAGGCAATTATACGATTTATAAAGTTACGACTGATGTTACCTTTAACTGTAGTATAATAGTATAAAATTGCTCTGCCAAGTTTTGCTTAAAATATTGTCTTTATGTACTACTGTATAGAATTGAACCAATTAAAGGGAACACAATAAACAAATGCTTACTCATCAGATCAATGGATTCGCGAGTCAGGAGGCGAGTCAGTTGTTCCTCCAGCATTTCCTGTGATTCCGGATTCTCTTCGGCATCACCACTTTCAGCTCTAAAAACAAAACAATTATGAATCAAATATCTACACGTGAGGAAATTCAGAGCCTGATAAAATGCACCATTCATAAGAGGTACTGATGAAAGGCCCTTAAGCACATGTGACACCATATCAACCTTGAGGCTTTCGTTTGCAAATAAAGTAGAAGGAAAACACAGCCTTGGAAGAGGATGGGAGGCAACTGGAGGGGGAAAATGGCAATGAGATCACAAGGGCAATTATATGTACAATTTTAAGCTTCATTCATGCATTAGAGGGCTCAAACAGAAAGAACGGGGAGGATGAGAGGAACTCAGGGCTCTTAACTTTTGGGAAAAATCTTGAGCTGAACTTGCACTACAGTAGAAATAGTTGAAAGAAAACATAACAGAGAACATGAGGTATGACATGTCTTTGCTGAATGTTCTCATCTTATTTCATGCTTTACGTTCCAGCAAGTCAGAGCTATTAAATTAACATTTACACATCTACACATCATGTTCATCGAGTCATCAAGGCATTATGTACCAACTGATGTGAGTGATTAAATCATTCTCACTTCAACTGGTCTGTGCACATATCCACTTCAGATTATGCTGTAAATTACAGAAATGGGCATGGTGGATGTCAAGCTTATAAAACTGCCAAGAAAAGCAGCAAATCTGAAGATTGGGAGAGTTTTAGAAAAAAAAACTAAAACACTCATTAAGAGCGAGAAAAGGGAGTATGGGGGTAAGCTCGCTAGGAACATTAAGTCTGATTGTAAAAGTTTTTAAATACATTAAGAGGAATAGGCAAGTGAGGGTAAATGTAGGTCCACTTCAGTCAGAGACGGGAGAAGTTGTAATGGGGGATAAGGACATGGCAGAGTCCCTAAATGGGTACTTTGCATCTGTCTTCACCCGAGAAGACACAACAAGTCTGCCAACAACAGAGATGCACCAAGGGGATAAGGACCGGGAGCAACTTAGGGAAATTTTCATTAGTAGAGAATTGGTGCTAGAAAAACTGTTAGCACTAAAAAGTGACAAATCCCCTGGTCCGGATGGCTTGCACCCCAGGGTTTTAAAAAGAGATAGCTTATGAGATAGTGGAGGCCTTGTGTCTGATCTTCCAAAATTCCTTGGATTCTGGAACAGTCCCCATAGATTGGAAGATCGCAAATGTCACACCACTATTTAAAAAAGGTGGAAAGGAAAAGATGGGGAACTATAGGCCAGTTAGTCTAAGTCATCAGTGATAGGAAAATTTTTAGAATCATTGATTAAGGATGTGGTAGTGCGGTATCTAGAGGAGCACAATATAATTAGGCCAAGTCAACATGGCTTTACAAAAGGGAATTCGAGGATATTTCGAGTAAACTAGATAAGTGGATGTGGTCTATTTGGACTTCCAGAAGGCATTCGATAAGGTGCCGCATAAAAGGTTAGTCCAAAAGATAGGGGCCCATGGAATTGGAGGGAGCATATTAACGTGGATTGGGGAATGGTTAACGGGTAGGAAACAAAAAGTAGGGATAAACGGGTCCTTTTCAGATTGGCGGGATGTGACTAGTGGAGTGCCACAAGGATCAGTCCTTGGGCCTCAGCTATTTACCATCTACATCAACGATCTAGATGAGGACATCGAAGTTAATATATCTAAATTTGCGGATGACACAAAACTAGGAGGAAGTGTCAACACAGAGGATGACATTAAAAAATGCAGCGAGACATAGATAGGTTAGGTGACTGGGCAGGTAGGTGGCAGATAAAGTATAATGTAGGGAACTGCGAACTCATCCACCTAGGTAGCAAAAATAGTAGAGCGGATTTTTTTTAGTAGGGGAGAGATTAGAATGTGTTAGCATCCAGAGGGACTTGGGTGTCCTTGTACACCAATCACAGAAAGTTAGTCTGCAGGTGCAGCAAACAATTAGGAATGCGAACAGTATGTTAGCATTCATTATGAAAGGATTAAGAGTATAAGAGTAGGGAAGTCTTACTGCAACTGTATAGGGCCCTGGTGAGACCACACCTGGAATACTGTGTGCAGTTTGTCTCCTTATTTAAAGAAGGGTGTACTTGCCTTGGAGGGGGTGCAGCGCAGATTTACTAGGTTAATACCAGGGATGAAGGGGATGAGTTACGAGGATAGGCTGACCAATTTGGGCCTATATTCTCAGTGGGAGATTGTTTCCCCTGGTTGGAGAAACTAAAACCAGGGGTCACAACCTTAAAATCAGAGGCCAGCCCTTTCGCACTGAGTTGAGGAAGAACTTCTTCACTCAAAGGGTGGTGAATGTATGGAACTCGCTACCCCAAAGGGCTGTTGACGCTCAGTTCTTAAATATATTCAAGACTGAGATAGATAGATTTCTTATTGCAAAAGGGATTAAGGGATATGGGGATAAGGCAGGGTTATGGTATTAGCTGGAGTTAGATTACAAGATCAGCCATGATTGAATGACGGGGCAGGCTCGAAGGGCCGAATGGCCTACTCCTGCTCTTACATGTTATGTTATTCCTTCAGAAGTCTGATGAACAACTAGTTAATCTGAACAAAACGCAAAATACTGCAGAGGCTGGAAATCTGAAACAAAAACCGAGAGAGCTGGAACACTCAGCAGGTCAGGCAGCATCTATGGAGAAAGGAAAGTGAGTCAATGCTTCGGGTCCATGACCCTTCGTCAGAACTGGGGCATGTTGGGAGGGGGAGATTTTCAAGGACAAGTTGAGAGGAGGAGGCAGGACAAGGAAGGCAAAGAAGACAAAGGAGAGAATGTGTTAGTTGATGGGTTAAAGGGGTTATAGTGGCGTAAAAAAAGAGGGGGTGGGTTGAAACAAAACTGGGGAGAAGAGGTGTTAATAGTGAAGAATAGACAACAAACCAGAGAGACAAAGAGTGTCTGGAATGATGAACTAGTAAATCCGTCTCATTAGGATGACTTGTTGGAGCAGACCAACCACTGGAGGAATTTTCTCATATGGCATCTGGTAATACTGCAAGCCAACGCACATCCTGGCCACTCCTGCCCAATCGGCCCCACCTTTGATGGGTGAGCTTTCAGCCATTCTGCCACTCTCTGGAACTCCCTCTGACTTGCTCGTTCCTTCGCTACTCTTAAAGTCCTCCACAAGACTTACACTTTGGGTCATCGTTCCTCCTCCCCCCAGTCTCTTCAGTTCCCCTCCCCACCAACCTGAATCTAAGCTCTTCAGGATTAGGCAAGCCGGGCGATTCCCTCTGGGGAACTTCATACCAGACAAACAGAATCCATAAATATTTGAAAATCTCAACACTTTCGTTTGGAGACCTTAGACTGGTGATGGGATTCTGCCTGCGCCTGTCACTGAGCTGAGCTAAACAAAAAATGCAATATGTACATTATTCTGATGTAACTGTAGTTTTGACATTCAAAACAATATGCAGTTTGATACTTACTCCAACAGCCCCCTCTGATTGATGACAATCCACTTGGCACTTAGTCTCTGGAAAGAGAAGAAGTAATTTATAACAGGAACCTGTTAATACAAAGTCAATAAGATTTGAGTTCATATAAACAAAGCGAGCAGTTGTTAGTTTGCCTTATTCCGTGAATGTATTTTTCATCCCCAAATATATATCCCTCAATTCCCTGCTGAATTCCCTTCAGAAAGTTTCAACTGAACCAGTATTTACTGCACTGGATTGCAACCTACTCTCTAAGCCTATAAGGAAATCTGAAGTCATTTTTCTTTGGAGAGGTAGTATGAATGTGAGAATTTTATTCTCTTTATTCTATTGACCTATTTTTTTTAAAAAAAGTTGGAACAGAGTTTTTAATCCGTTTGCTTAAAGATTTCCACAACCTTTCAAGCGTGTACAACTTGGGAGCATTAATCCTTCGCGGCTGGCTGAGTGCCTCGGGGACATTTTTCCGCTGCTCTGCAACATCTTAAGTCACAGCTGTCACAGCAGTGGACGAAGCTTCCTGGGACCTGTAGTCGGTCTGAGCCACGGATCCAGGCCCGTTCCTGTGGGAAAAGGAGTGACAATTCCCAGCCTGCCTTGCTGGAGCATAAGCAGCCCGTGGATCCAGGTCCGGCCCGCGGGAGGAGAATGTAAACTGCAATTCCCGGGGTGCCTCAGTATCGCAGCTCAGGGCCACTGATCACGAGTTTACTTCGAGCCCTGGCATAGCTGGCTGAGCGGCTTGGCAGTATTTCCCCACGGAACAGGCAAGTTCGCTTCGGGTCCCAGCAATTTTATAGAATTATTGAATATTACAGCACTGAAGGCGGTCATTCGATTAAATTCGACAGAATTAAACAAACTTTTGCTGGAAGAGCTACCCAATCAGTCCCACTCCCCCGCTCTTTCCCCTTGCAAGTTTTTGCTTTTCAAGTACCTATTTAATTCAACATCTGAAAGTTGTTATTGAATCTGCTTCCAATAACCTTTTACTGTTTACGGTTTACTGTTTTCACGGAGTCCTGTAGCTCGCTTTGCAAGCGAGAGACCTAAGTTCAATTCCAGGCAGAGGGCGAAACCTTGGGCAAGTTTCCTTACTCCACACAGAGCCTAATAATAATCCCTCCAAAACCAAAAACAATAAGAAATTGGTCATTTTCAATCTACGACTGTTTGTGGGACATTGCTGTGCGCAATTGGCTGCCGCGTTCGCCCACAAATATACAGTCAATTCACTTTACAGTGTGTTCTGTGAAACGCTTTGGGACGTCCTCCCGACGTGAAAAGCGCTATATCAAATGCAAGGATTATTATTATTATTAACATATTGTTGACCACAAAATATGCAGTAAACATTTTTATATGAAAAGGTTCATATAGTTCTACAGAGTTGAAAATGTACTGCTAGGGAAATGTTTTAGGACCATAATACACATTTTAATCAAGATTCGTTTTTGGGGGTCACAATGGGTTTATGTTTTAGATTAATTGCTTTTCATTTCTTCTCCGCTGCATATTTCATTACAAGTTTCCATGCAATTTTTGTGGGCGATGCTTTCCCACTTCATCTTCTACTTTTTCTTCAGTCAAAAAACTTAATGCAAAAGTCCTATACATTTATCAAAGGTATGTACATTTTTTCTCTCTTTGTGGAAATCTCTTTTCCTGGCCACTGATTATAACTGAGATCAAAATTTAGTGCATTGTATGGGCAATTCCAGATGTAATTAAACATCCTATTTCAGCACAGTATGCTTGAACTCCAACACAATGCAACACCTTGACTTACGTACAATTGCATGGACTTATAGGATCTTGAGCAACAACAAAACTCTTATAAAACATTACTTCAAAAACATTCTGACTAAGGAATGGTTTGAAGAGATTAAACAATCAATATCAAACCAACAGAAGGGGGACAAAGCCTGATGTTTAAAATATTCTAATACCATTCGACAAGTAAAGCATATTTTAAAAATATCGAAGTGGAGCACATATGGTTATATTTTACCTGCAGCAAGTAGGAGAACAGTGGTCCAAGAATTGGGCACAGCACAGATTCGTAATGTTCAGGGGGACAAGACTGAACCAAAGGCTTCACGAAAACACGTATACAATAGTTAAGGGAAATATTGAACTTTTGCCCTCATGCACATTTCAACAGCCCCCCATGATAGGTACCAACGCAACGTAAGGCTTCTCTTGTGTTGGAGAAGCAGTCAAATTATATAATATGCGTTACACAATTATAACAACAACAAACTGCGTTTATATAGTGCCCTCCGCAACAGACAGCGTCCCAGAACGCTTAACAATGCCGAGCCAGGGGGAGGCGCAAGGTAGCCATAGGCAGGGGTGAAGAGGGGGCAAGGCGAAGGGACTGAGGGAGGGAGTATAATCTACTCGCAATAATTGCCTCTATATAGCCTACTAAAGCAGTAATAGTAAGAACCTCACAATAGCCTGATTTTACCAGTGAACACCTCCACACAGTGTATCAGCCGTGAGAATCTTTATGTACCCTGATAGCAGTGACATCTATAAGGCCTGATTTTAGCAGTGAGCATCTCTATATAGCTTATAAAGCCAGGCCGCCATTACATAATGCAAAGTAAAGGAAACTAATTTTATGCAAATTTACATTTTGTATCGATAGACTAATCTCCCATATGTATTAATCGTCAGATAAAGTTTAAAATAAAGGATATGCAACACTGGGCGCAGCCTGTAATCAGCAATGTTCTCCAGGTTCACAAAAGCAGAGTTGATCACAGATTCTGCAAAGTTGTTTACGTTGAAAAAATCTTGAAGCATGCTGGGTCCAGCGTTGCCAAGAATGTGGAAACTGTCCAAGAAAAAAAAGTTAGAACAAATGCGGGACGTGTAGAAATTGATTTGTTTAAAATAAAATTGAACTAAGAAAATGAGAATTTTTCAGCAGCCTCTCTCCCCCAATAGCATGAGGCCAGGGCTGAGTGATTCACTACAGGATAGATAGAGGTATGTGAACAAGTCGAGTAAGATTTTGCAGTGTTGATTGTTATTCAGTATGTCGTCTTGAAATGTCGTCATACAGAACCCAGTAACCCAGGCTACAATATTCCCTAACACGAGGCAGCACCTTTTCAGATGAGAGAAATTTGAAAACAAAATGCCTCAAATCAAATAACATTGATATTAATTCTTTACTGGGAACCACTAAACAAACACACTGGCAATGTATTAAATATGTTTTGGTTCTTCTTGCCCCTCCTACCCCCCACCCACCCACCAGTCCCCCAGCTCCACAGAACATTTAGCTTGGTCTGTATAATAAGCACATAACTAAATGCTCTGCATAAAATATTACTATGACCTAAACCGCACAGATCTCGTACGCACAAGATATTCAGCTGGGTAGCCCAGAACAAGGACTATCAATTGAACAGGTGCAGCGCAATGCTTTTTTTTTTTTAAACGGTTAAAAATCAGGAATAATAGGAAACCAAAATGTTATCAAGAGAAAATGTCAAAACTCAGCATACACAAATAAGAAAATGATTTCCTACCAGTTGTCATACAGAGTACAGAAGAATCCTTGCATACGTTCCAGGACAGATTTGTACACCGGAGCATCAGCATGATCCAGCAGAGGCTGAGGGATGCCTATTACAAGAATATTCATTGAGAATTTTTTTTTGCAAATTTACCAAAATTATACACTATAATTTACAATTATATTGTAAAACGTTAAATGTTTGGAAAGATAGATTTAAGCATAACCTCTCACCCATAGTATCATATGTGCAAACCTACACTTGCAAACCTTTTCAGCCTTAGCTCTGATGTATTTTCTATAACAGAAACTAAATATACTTCTAACCCGAATTATGACCTAACTCATGTCGAATATGAATCTATTATTCTAACATTCAATGACACTACACAAGTCAGAATCCTATTTGCCTTTTCTATCTTGATGCCCATAGATATACCTGCATCCCTAGATCCCAGTTTCTCAACAAATTGAAAAACAGCCAAATAGTCACGTTACCATTTAAGATATAATCATTTTCTTTATTCTATTTTCCCCAAAAAAGTACTGATTCACATTTTATATTAAACAGTGTTTTGTCATCTATTTTTTCCCACTCTCTGGCTTAGCCTTGGTTTGTCATTACCCTTAATTTTGTATCAACATCAAAATAAAATTGTTTCCCCTGTAATCATTTTGTGCCACTAACTGCATACAGCCAATCAAAGAACCATCCATTTGCTCAGACTTGTATCTTTGAGTTATCTTCCACAGTTTAAGCACAACTTATTCGGTTTGATTCCCAGATTACAGCTGCAATACAACTTTTATTATTATTTTGTCAACCACAATACCCAGCACATTTTACATTATCTTCAAATCACAGACATGAACATCATGTATTTTCTGGGTAAGTGAGGAACCCAGCTAGCATTTGTGATGTAACCAACAACTGAATTGTTGATTATGCAAAAAAAGAATGAGGAGTTGTAACATTGGGAGTTGGCATCAAGCTACAAAGTCATTTATGGTGGCAATCTTCATGTTCTTCAAGTATTCAAATTCAGTATGCAGGGGAATTCCTACAGTGGTGGTCAGCAGAAAATACTTTGTACCTTGATGATAAATTACTAATTATTGTACAAGCTAGTCACAGCAACTTACAAAAGTTTAATGTCAAACTTGATGCTGCTACACATTTTTCAAGTGGTGCCATAGCCTTGTGCCTCTCATCTCTCATTTCAACTTGCAGTGAATTGCCTTGAAATTTTAAATCATTAATTTCAATTTCTAGAATGAAACGCTTTTACACAAACACTAAAGAACGACAGAATAATAAGTACAGTGTTATTGACAAAATGGACAACTAATTTATCAACCACACAATGGTGTTGGAATCTGAGTTTTCAATGCACTTACAACAAACAAGCGATTTATTCAAAATATGAGCGTGGAAGAATTTTCTTGGTTTAAATTATGTGTCACATTGGAGCTTGTGAGTAGAATTTCTTTAAAATACAACTGAAGGACGTGGCCATTTCTGCCAAATTAAGTTGCAACAATTTGCACTTGTATCATGGCATTCACATGGGGAGAATGTTTTACAGTGCTTCACAAAGACCGGGTGGAAGCAAGCAAAGAAAATCTGCTCTTGAAACAGATAATTCCCAATTCAAAATATCTGTAAGGTTTAAAATAGAAAGGTCTTGCTTCATTAAGTCAAGAGGCTAATGACTAAACGCGCTGTGAATTTACAACAATCCACACAAAGCTGGTTTATAAAGCAAAATCTCAGCAGTCACACTTTAAAAAAATACACATTACCAAGAATTGCATTTTTTTCCACTTCCAACATGTCATGAGCTCTCCTGAAATGTGGGCTGAGCTGCTCCATCACTTCTGGCTGCCAAAGGTTATTGTGTGTCCTACAGATAAGAACACATCACAACAATAATAAGTTACAGCTCTAGGTCACGAGGAAAGTCATACAATTCCAACCCCAGTCAAGATAACCCTGACATAGTTGTGCATCCCACACAAACAAAACGTTTCCAAAAGAATTCACTCCCAATTAATTATCTTTTCTGTGAGGTATTTTGGGAACATGCTTGGAAGTGCTCTCCCTGGATTCTATGATTTAAAAAAAAAAAAAAAATCTTTTTCTCTTAAAAAAGTATTTCTGCACAGCTTTGCTTCAAATGCAGAGGCTGAATAAATGTAACGGTCAATGTCTTGGACTGGAAGACTCTCTTCAGAATCTCCGTCTAAGATTTGGTCATGATGGGACTTTACCTTTTCACAAGTATCAATGGAGTATTAGCTTAAATCAAAAAGAACTTCCACAATTTGAATAATGTTATTTTCTAAGCTTGAGGAAGTTTGGCCAGGACATAAGTGGGCAAAATAAATTCAGATTCAGTTCTACAAAAGATAATCAAAGCAAATCTAACAACTTCCTGGCCAATTAAACTCTATTTGAAACCGGAACCATTTGAAATCAATATCTGCAAGTCTGAGAATACTAACAGATCGGTTCCCCTTTCTTTAAAACATGTTGCCCAGAACCTCTCAAATTTGATAAACGCATCGGGTGGGGGGGGGGGAAGGGGAAAAAAAATATTGTTACACATAGGTCACTTCAAAATCTGAAATGGTTAAAAAACACAATTTCAAATAACATGAAGCAGAAGAGGCATGATTCAATATCAACTGCTGCCAAACAAGACTGATACATGAATTATATATACATCCCAGCCTCCATCCTGCTCAGGTCCAAATCTCAACCACATGCAGTGAGGTGCCAGCATAAATTAGATACTGTTCCACATCATCAAATATCTTCCAGTGACTTACGAGAGTAGCAGAAAGGCTGCAAGGCTTGGAGGAAAAGCCTGCAGATTCAGACTTTCACAAATTTTTGCTACAGAGACATTATAACTCTCTAAAACCACCAATGAGCCACTAAGCCGTTCTGACCTTCAACAATGATCCTGATGCAGATCGCTGGACGCTTCAGCAGCAGTTACGTACACAGAAACAGCTTGCTTATACAGAACTTTCCCAGACCAAATTCTGTTTTACCCACTTTAGAAGTCTTCATGGATTCTTCAACTCCACACTGATTAAACAACTTCATAGTGAGACAAATATGAAATGATCGGTCTTGACAAAATACATTTGAATAATGCTTTCTACTCTTTCCGGTGGCCTAACCGGTAGAGAAGCTGCACAGGGTGCTACTAAGATAGGAAGAGCAGAAATGTCCAAGTTTCTATGTTGTTTCTGATCACAATCAAGATTTGGACCCAGCTGTAATATTACCTACAATTGCACGGTCTCCCAGCAGTTACTAGTTTGGTGAGTAAAGAGGGGCAACCATTGGAATCATACCCAAACACAATTACGCACCTTTCCTGATAGTGGAAATGGAGAGAGGAAGAATGAGGAAATTATGTCATTGACTACGGGACTTTTTAAAGAGTTCTTTCCCCATCTACTTTTTAATTCTGTATTCTGTAACAAAAGCATTTTTTTCCTGGAAACCTTCATACCAGCACACCTGTAGAGGAGAAAACAGACAACTCTGGGGTCACCATGAAAGTGACTTACCTGCACATCACAATCATGTAATATTGCATGGTCTTTGGAGTCCTCCAAGTAACTACTTCATGTTGAATAATAACTACAATAAAACATTACCTGGATAATGTACTTTCTTAGCTTCAAAGCAGAACACATTTGGCCAATATACCAAACTATTCACCAATTCTAACACGTTGCTCTGTACCTCTGCAGAGTAACTCCCAGTAAAGAACTAAAACTGTCATCCATTTCACAAGGAGAGGTTTAAAATAAACTGAATTAGGCTGCAGGCAATAAAGGTTCCATTTACTTCCGTCTGATCTTCAAACAACTGTTGGAAAAAAAATTAAGACATGTAGAATGATTTCAAACTGGACCGAGGTGTTTTTAGCTTTGCATCGTTACTGTTTACACCCCAATCGATGCTACGCAACTACTCGTGTTAATTAAGCGCATCAAGTTTTACCACACAACTTTCACAATGAAAACTTGTACTGCCAAGCGATTCGGAACCTTATTGAATGAGGATCAAACAACCTTAAGATAAATTACAATGGAATTTCTGCAACAGCTCATTTTGAAAAGAAAACAAGCTTACCATAATACCACATTAATAATGCACACCTTTGATACTCCAGTGACAACTGATAAGTCAATATTAAACTTTTGACTTTTAAATGCATAAAAGAATTATCATACCATCTTGAGACTGGAGCACAAAAAGTACTGCTTTGTCCTAAGGATTACAACATGGATGCCATTAGCTTTCGTACTTCAGTACTTCCTTCACCATAGGTCCACTTTGCAGTCCAGGATAATCAGATCGTCCAATATGGTTACCAACAAAACCCAGACCTGTGTTAAACTCAACCTCCAAATAACTTCCAGTACAAGGAAACACTCTTCTAGTGTTCAGCAACGTTTGTGTTATTTATCGGAACAGCAAACTGTACAGAGGGCAGAAAGCATCAATTGTATGACAATCATTCAGCCTTTTGTTGCCAAATCATGGCCACGGTCACCTGAAAGAAGTCTGGAGTATTCTCTCAGTGTTTGGTGACCCACATACCAAAAGCAACCCAAATTTAAAAGACTTACCCTTTCAAATTAAAAGTAATTTACCTATACATCTGTAGTTGTGAAACATTCAGTCACAACAGCCAGCCAGCCAATTCACTAATCAATTATTACCTGCTCTTAACTTTCAAAAGCACACAAGATAGAAGTGCTGCTACAAACTAAACATTGCCATATTGCCTTTGGATTAAATCAGAAGTTGTTTGAAGTCTGAAGTTTAAGAAAACTCACGAAAGCCATATGAAGTCATTGTTTGCAAAGCACTTTCAAGTCCTAAAAGTTATGCGCTCCTGGATGTCTACTACTTTCCAACGACGGAATCCTAATTGGGCATCCGCAAAAAGGTGGATGACATACAGAAACGCCAAGTATGCAAAGTAACTGAATCACAGAGTCAGCAACTGCTTTGCACCAACAGGAACAGCACTACAAGACACAGTGCTACCACACAGGCTGAAAAGTATTTTCTTAAAAGGATGCCAAATAGCAAACCTGTGTACAATTCCTTCATCACCACAGTTAAACAACCCCTTTCCTAGTAAATCTGGCAATCAGGGAATATCAACTCAATATGGAAAAAGTGAATGAGGTTGACATATGAAGGCAAGGATGACCAGACTTGTTTTAAAAATAACTCAAAACAAAAAAAATTGTTGAAATTCAATGTGGGATTAGCAATTCAAACCAGCTTCAACTACAACTGTTGGCATGGGGGGGGGGAAAAAAAGTTTTTAAAAAATCTAAATTTGGAGATAAAAATCACACAAATAAAATTCTTTGCAATCAAGTATATACCATGTTCAATGTTTTAACTGGAATTTTAAGGAGAGGAGAAGAGTAAAATATACATGTGGTAATCAAAAAAAAATCTAGTCTTATATCGGGGAGGAGATACACATGTTCAATCATTAAACCTTTTCTCCTCATACGCTCATCTGGTAGCTGGTCGGCCATTCTTGATTCAGTCTGAAGATTATCAGCAGCTCCTAGGGACTTACTTACCTACTTACCTGCCCGGCTCAGTTACAAATTATTTCAGGATAATCCAGGGTCGCAAAGCTGTCCAGAAGATAATGCAAGCTAGGTAAGGCAATTAATTTCAAAAGGTATTAGAAGTTTCTTATTTCAACTCTGTATAGTGATTTAGGCAATGCAAAACAAATCACACTGTCTAAATGATTGCTCAGCCTCACAAATAAAAAAGGTTCTGTAAAAAGAGCACTATGTGGCGGATAGTGTTCTTTTGTCCTGATAATTATTTTCACTGGTTCAAGACCGTGGTTTCCTGGCCTAGATCCAGTGTTGGTGTAATAATGGCTTTGGTTCACATGTTGCTACTCTTGTCCAACTCAATTCACCTTATCAGGGCGAGCAGGTTGTCAAGAAGTTTGATGACATGCTCAGTGCAGGCGTTGCGGTACATCGGAGCCCCGCTGGGTGTGAATCCGACCACGAACCCTCCGGCCTTTGCCTCCTCCAGGTCACTAGGCCAGCGAGCCCGCTTCACAACTCCAAGTATGGTGTAAACACACAAGCTGATCTGTTAAAATAAGGTAAAAAGCAGAGATGAAAGGTCTGGCAACATTTCATTGAGCTTTACCAGTAGCACCTTGGGATGGGGAGGGGGTTGGGGGGGAAGGGGCATTATCTCCAGGATACTTGGTGATAAATGCCTGACTGCAACCAGTAGCCTTCTGACGAGTGGGGACAGCACCTTACTGTCAGGAATAAATGGCTCTTCGAGATTTTGGGGCAGAATTTGTGTTGCAACGTGTGACAGAAGTGTTTCAGAACCTCTCAAATCGAGTATCAAATCAACTACGGAGGCTTTTAGACTTTCTGCGCTACACATTACTCATGATTTTTCTTTCATGGAAAAAGAAACTTTACAAAAAGCTGCATATTTGTAGTCTGGTTCAATTCTTTAGTATGAATCAATAATGCAACCAACACACTTTTGCAACCAACGTAGTTACCACACTGTACTTCCAATACCAGGTGTACCATAACTAATTCACTTCACTTCCAACGCAAGACAAACAAACCACATTCTCTTTATAGGTCCATTGCTAGCAACTGAAGCAACATTCTTTGCACATTTCCAACAATATTCCACACTTGGGTGCTTCAAACACGTCACTGAATCCTCAGCACTATTAACAAAATCACACAGCTGCCATCAGTTTCCAGAACAGACCACTTCTCTTTTGAAAGCTGCTACTCTCATCCACGAAACATGCAACTCTTACCATTAATTAGAAGCAAAGATGACACATCACTGCCTGCAATTAAACCTACACGATAATAATACACAACCCTATTGTCAAGTATAAAAAGCTGAGTCCACCCACTCCAATAGAAGAAATAGGTTCACAAATGATTTCACTGGAAGCTGCAGAATATTTTCCAATCACAAAGTATACACGTTGTGCCTCGAAACAAAGATCTGTGGATTAATGAAACGGTTACTGCGCTGTACAACCGGCTCTCCGAAAGTCACCGTGGCGTGTTGAGGTGACATTGTAGACTGCATTTCCTTTTAGTGACACTGCATGTGGCGTTTTCAACAGCAAAAAAATACAAAAAAAACCAAAAAACCTCAAAAACGGCATCCATTTGGCAAGAAGTCATTTCTTTCTGGAATTACAAGTACAAACCTCTTCAGCATAGACAACGGCGAATGGATGGTACAAACGATGCATTTCATGACCACTCCACAATAAGATGATCCGTCCCCCGTTTCAGCGTTTCTGAAATTTCATAAAAAGCAGGGCAACTGCACAATCCTTGACAAGTTACCTGAATAATTTCCAATAGAACCAGTGATACAAAATCAGAGTCAGACGAGAACACTGTAAAATGGATATCATTATTTCCAAAAAGCCATTGGTGGTACTGTGTTAGCATCTTCCTGGTATTACCCATAGCAACAGAATAGTCTTTGGAAGCATTTTTAGTCACAAATTCACACATACCCTAGACCTGTTGATGCCTGATGGGTCTTCCATAATCGGGTCGGCTGGAGTGACGTCTGCGCCAATGTACGCAAGGAACAACCCTGGCTCGGAAAGCACTCTGGAAGGCAAGAAATTTAATGTGAGTCTATTGTATTTTAATGAACTCACAGCTTTTAAAAAATAATCCTGATCAGCATTCTTTGGCTAATTCTAATTATCAGTACTCCTCGCCCACTCCACCATCAGCAGCCGTGCCTTCAGACACTACGCCCTGAAACTCTGGAACCCGTGGAGTCCTGTAGCTCAGTGGTTAGAGCACTCGCTTTGCAAGCGAGGGACCTAGGTTTGATTCCCGGCAGGGGGAAACCTTGGGCAAGTTTCCTTACTCCACATGCCTGATAATAATCCCTCAAAAAAAACCAATAATAAATTGGTCATTTCAATCCACGACTGTTTGGTGGGACACTGTTGTGTGCAATTGGCTGCTGCATTTCACCCACAAATGTACAGTCAATTCACTTTACAGTCTATGCTGTGAAGCGCTTTGTGACGTCTAGAAGACATGAAAAGCGCTAGATCAAATGCAAGGATTATTATCTCTCTCCCTCAATCTTTCCGCCTTGTCCCCTCCCTACTTTGAAATCCCTCCGAAAGACTTTCCTTTTTGATCGTGCTTAAAGTCACCTCCCATCTCCCGCTCCCCTTGGCTCAGTGTTGGAACCCGCCATTCTCAAGCACTCCGGGATTCTACCTCACGTGAAGGGCGCTATATCATTGCAAGTTGTTGTTGATGCAGATATTCACAGTATAGCTGAGATTAAACAATTGCTGAACAATCTGTGTTGTTTATCTAACTACAAACACTTGCATTTGGTCTGGTTTAAAAATTTCCCCTTTCCACATTCAAGAAAAATCAGACTGTACTAAGTGTTCTTTGATGATCAGCCAACTGCATCACATGCAACCCTGGTAATTAAACCTTTTCTTCAATATGCAACTGATTACAATCCACAAGCTTTGTATTAATGATTTTAAAGCAATAAGACAGCATGGTAGCGGAAGGCTTCAAAAATACCTATGCATCTCCTCCGACAGCCAGAGACTGGTAACTGGACACATAAGCTCCTCCAGGAAGGCTTTCTGTCGCTCATAATTCTTGAACTGATTACTCAGGAGAACAAGAGACTCCATCAGGGCACATTTCTCTAGCTGGGTAAGTTGCCTTTCGTCTTGTTGCAGGCGCTTGACATGAGTGTAGAACATGTCAAAGACCGGCTAAACATAAAAGGTATTAGTTCAGAGAAACACTCGTTGAATAGGGAAATCCCCATTGCAAACAAAACAGTGCTATAATTAAACATTATTCAAATGCATTCATGGACAGTCAAAATGTGGCAGTAAATTGTATGATCTTCCTTAATAATAGACAAACATTAATAATTTTAAATGTTTCTCGTCTTGCCGATCTACACTGAAGCACTTTGAGATGTCCTCCCGACATGGAACAAATGCAAGGATAATTATTTATTTTCTCCTCTTCCCCACCCAAACACATTTATACATAGTACACTTTTGTTTGATCTTAAAAGGATGAAGGATTCAGGAGATTCCTCTGGTTTGATTCTGTTTGCTTTCATTCCAAACCCACTGTATTCAAATAATCAATTGGAATCAAAGAAACCCGCACACATTTTTAAAGATAGAATGACATGTTATTTTAGCTGTAGACATTTTGGACAGTAACTTTAGTTCTATTGGTTGTATTTGACTTTGGGTCAGAAAGTTGTAGGTTTGAACCAATGTCAGAACTGGCGATAATACTTTAGGTTCACACTCTAGTGGAGCGCTGCATTTCAGAGGCACCATCCTTTGGATGAGATATTCAATCAAAGTTCAGTCTGTCTGCTGTTCAGGTGAACGTTAAAATCCTATATCGCTTTTGAAAAAGAGGAGGGAGCTTCACCTGGTGTCCTATCCAACAATCATCCAGATCATTTGTTTGTACAGCCTTCTTAGCAAAAATGACTGCTAGTTTTGGCTACAAAACAATGACTAGACTTGTGAGTAATTACTTTGCAACCTTGCTGTGTTGAAACTGCTATTAGATGCAAATTGAGGATTATTCTAAACAAAATGATCCTTCACCTCCTGGAAATATATCCAAACGAAAGTGGTTGACTGCTCCCAGAATTTTACCATCAATCATTCCTAGACACGTCGATTGCTAAAAGCACTACTACAATACCAATTGGAGCAATCAGGGAGACACTTACCATGATCAGTTCTGGGTGATCTCTGCACATCTTAAGTATGGATGAACAAGCATGCCTGCGAACATTCTTTACTGCACGAGTCCTTGGAGCCTGGAATTAAAAGTCACGGGTTTCCAATTTAATTTCCAACTAAAATGTTAAGAACGTTTGCTTTTGCCTTCAATTCGCACAAACTTCAATTTACAGTAAATCCCGTGAAGTGTTTTGAGAAATGTGCCCCGAGATAAAATGCACTTTATCAAATGAAAGGATTGATGTTATTATAGTACACAATGTTGTCCTACCTGACTCTCTTCAATGACTTCAAAAGTAGCAGATGCAAAGAGCTGAAAAGAAAAAGTACGCATTAATACAGAAACATAACAATAAAGGAGGCCATTTGGCCCACCATAACTGTGCTGTTGCGCCTGCTACCCCCATATTATCCATTCTAACTTTATTCCCCTGCACCCTATTATTTTCCTCATTTTTTTTTTAAATGCAATTTCCTTTCAGACTTCGGCTCCTGGAAATATTTCCAAAAAAAAAGCTCCCAGAATTCTACAAATCACTGCTTTCGACCAGGAAACGGACGATTGTTTAAAACAGTCCGCTTTATAATAATAATAATCTTGCATTTGATATAGCGCTTTTCACGTCAGGAGGACGTCCCAAAGCGCTTCACAGAATACACTGTAAAGTGAATTGACTGTATATTTGTGGGCGAACGCGGCAGCCAATTGCGCACAGCAATGTCCCACAAACAGTCGTAGATTGAAAATGACCAATTTAATTATTGTTTTTGGTTTTTGGAGGGATTATTATTAGGCTCTGTGTGGAGTAAGGAAACTTGCCCAAGGTTTCGCCCTCTGCCTGGAACTGAACTCAGGTCTCTCGCTTGCAAAGCGAGTGCTCTAACCACTGAGCTACAGGACTCCAACTCACAAGCTAAGCTGTCTTCACTTCACATTGTGCATTGATTGCTAAAAAGCAATAATTATTACAGTTCCAGTTGGAGCAGGATAAGGATAACTGGCAGGAGTATAAGTTCTTATCAAGTCACCAGCTGTTTGTATACTGAGGCTATGGACTCAGCAAAAAAACAGTCCCAGTTTTTCAAGTCTCCTGAGGTAACTATAACCCACAGCCCCGATTATAATCTGAGTAAACCTCTGCTGTCCTTTCTCTATAGTTATGTCTTTTCTGATGGTATCCAAAGCCAATGCAGTATAACAAATGCTGCATTCCTTTTCACATATTCAGCAACGACTGCCGCTTGGCAAAGGAATGGCCCCACAGCTGGCTTTTTCAAAATTAGATTTGATAATTGATAAGACCATCTCTACAGATGTGACAACTGCTGATCATAATTGAAATGCTTGGTTGAACATTTGGTGAGTAAATGATACAGAATCCGGCTCTAACTCATAATGGAACTATTTTATAATCAATTTGAATTCACGTCAAACAATAAATTGGTCATTTTCAATCCACGACTGTTTGTGGGACACTGCTGTGCGCAATTGGTTGCCGCATTTCGCCCACAAATATACAGTCAATTCAATTTACAGCATATTCTGTGAAGCGCTTTGAGACGTCGAGAAGATGTGAAAAGCGCTATATCAAATGCAAGGATTATTATTATATCAAATGCAAGGATTATTATTATTATTAATAAACTATCCTACAGAATCCCCCCAAATTATACTAATTATAATTAAACTCGATTTAATTAAGTGTTTAATATCAGCAATAAATTAAAATCATTACAATAGCTAAACATAAAGATTATGGAAGCTGCTATATTCAGATGTCTTTATTGCATTCACATTTATTCTAGTTTAAATTTTAGAGAAGCATTCACTGCGTCACATGCTAAACGCAATTTAAAAATACTGCATTTACAATCTAATTAAATCATTTTTCAATTTTCTCCAATTTCCTATCCTCCTAAATGCTCTGGTTGGAATATGGGTTCACAGATTTAGATGTGTAGATCTTTGAAGACGTGATTGCAAGGATTATTATTATTATTAATATTATTATGAGCATTACCGAGTTAACAAGTAGCTTTTCTTCTCAGTGCAAACCCAAAACAAGATTGTTCACATGCTATCACAGCCAAGCCTGATCAAACGCAAGAGCACATACATGCAGGAGTCACTGGATATTGATCATCAGTAGAAACATGGCTGATTCTTCTTCCAATGCTCATAAAAACAGCCATTTGCAGCACACCCGACCGCTCCCCTAACAAAGACTATATCAACACAAACCAGGACTTGCAGTTATGGCCTAATGCTATGTCAGGCAGTGGTTGTACTCACTATTCATCCAGATTTTCCAAACTAAATACTGTTTGAATTAACACAGGTGTAGCATAAAGTAGAAACGTACCTTTTCAAGCACTTGTGGCAAAACAGAGGCATCATGGAGAAGGAACGGACAGAGGGTTGAGACAGCAGTCAGGATACAAGAAAGAATCAGGGGATCATGGGTATGATAGCTCAACACAGCTTTAAGGAGCTCAACTCCCTCTGCTACTGGAAGTTGCTGCAAACAAAAGTATTAAGTTTCTTCAAAGTTGTATCAATCCTTTAAAATGCATTGTGGTTAAGCAAGTGCACGATTGAGCTAAATGTTCTCCAAGTTGTTAACATGCTGACATTTAAACCATGTTTTTCTTTACCACCTGACACAAAAATAACTTTATTCTGTGACAAAGTAATAAAACAGCTCTTAAGTTTTCTTAATCTGCTGAAAGGTTAAGTTTTTTTTTAAAAAAACTGTCTTTCCTATCCCTTGTACTTGCCTGCAAATCCCTTGCCAGTGGAGCATTTGGGGAAAACAAGGTTCCACATACAATGGTAAACACAGCAGTCAGTACCTTTTCTTACCTATACTGTGCTCTGATCCTAGCCACAGTGTTATCTATGGCAAATTCCTACCCGAATGTTATATATCCTTCCAACCACCACATTCCTCTCAAAGATTTTGTCTATATACGGCAGAAACTTTGAATAGCATTATATGAAGCGCTTGAAAAAGTTTGGATGCGATAAGATGCTATTTCAAATGCAAGCATGATTACATAACATGGAAAAAAATGCTGTTAATTTGATTTTAAGGTTGTATCAAATGGCCTTCTTTCCTTGGGGCGCTGTTACAAACGGTTCATACACACCTCTGCATCCAAGGTTCTGAACAACTGGCTCATGACACTCTCCATGAAGAAAGTCAGTGCATCCCACTGCACAAAAGATGGTGAAAAGATGGAACACAAACCTGTCCCAGTCTTGGCTGTAGAAAAAAAAGCAAGGTTAATTTACGAAATGCATCAGAAAACTAGCCTATTCATCTAAACATCCAAAATGTCAGAATATACACAAAAGATAGTCATTCCCACCTCAATTATTCCAATGCCCTCCTCACCAGCTCCGACATTCACAAAATCCAACTAATTCAAAACTCCACCGCCCGTATCCTCACCAGCACCAAACTCTGTATCCCCATCACCCCAGTCCTTGCCAGGCTCCACTGGCTCCCTGTCACAGAACGATTAATTTCAAGATCTTCACACTCGTTTACCAAAATCACATCATGCCATGGCACATCCCTATCTCTCCGACCTGTTTACAACCCACTCCACCTCCGCTCAACTGGCTCTGGCCTCCGCTCCAGCATCAGCTGTTTTGCCTTTAACCACTACGCACCAAAATTATGGAATTCTCCTCCTCAAATCCCTCCACCTTGTTACCCTTTCCCCATCTTCAGATCACACCTGAAAAGCTTACTCTTGTGCCTACAGTTAACTTCCCTCTCGCCCCGGTTCAGCATCAAGCTCGGCCACTGTTAAGCACTCCATGACGCTACTCCGCATGAAGGGCACTGTATAAATGCAAGCTGTTGTTTTTGTTTACTTTTCACCTATCCCTCTCTGCTTCAATACATTAGTCATAAATGACAACAAGCAACATGGTTAAACCAGCTTACACATGGTTGGGCCAACATCAATGGCTGCTGTAAGCTGATACTGCAGTGCTTCGGATGCCATATTGAAACCAGTCATTGGTGCCAAACGACAAGAGAGTCTAATGGTCTCTCCTTGCTGAGCTCGGAATGCTGCAAACAGAAGTTTAACACCACATTTTATTAAATTATCATTCTATCAGGGCAAATATTTTGATGAGGGCTACTGATTTTGCCAGTTTAAAACAGTCGAGATCTTGTAGTTAATTTTCCTGCAGAGCAGAGTAATTTGAAGACGTTTCATACAAAGTTTCATTTCTGATCAGTGGATCATCCTGAATGTATACCTACTCGGCTAAATGAACTCCTGTCATAAGCCTTCGTTGATGAAAGATCAAATGTTCCCACTGAAGCTGCACACTGTTTTTTAATCATGGTCAAAGTTTTGTGCATATCTAATATTTACAGTGCACTTCATTTAATTGCGTATCAGACAATTGAATACTCCATTTACTCACATAGCAATTTGTAAAGTACCTAAAATTTGATATTCCACTTTGTTCAAATGCATATCAAATAATTGCAGAATTTGCTTAATCACACGAAAGATGGCCAGCCAATTTATTCGCAAATTTATAATTAGCTCAGGTAATTGCATTGGTTAAGGAGTAGACCAGGTGACCACAAACAATTTGACTTGCAGTTATTACTTATTATTACTTCATCATTACTTTTGTTACAAATGTAATTTTGTTGTTTAAGTGGTTCGAAAGTAATAAATATACACTTGGTCATACAGTTCTGAATCAGTAGAACTTTGGGTAATTGCATATTCCATATGATTGTATGGTGTTTGTCGGTCCCAACTCAATGCAATTATTCAGCGTGCACTATAATACATAAATATTCATACATACAGTGTAACCAACCACACACTACAATGATCATTATAGTGCAGCCTCACTTATAACACTGGTATCTTATGGACCCACTCTAATCAGAAACATGCCACACCAAGCTTCCGGTGCTGACTTCTGGTGGAGTCTTGTAGCTCAGCGGGTAAAGCACTCGCCTCGCAAGCAAGAGACCTGGGTTTGATTCCCGGCAGGGCGAAATGTTGGGCAAGTTTCCTTACTCCGCACGCCTCTGTTTACCTAGCATTAAGTAGGAACCTGGTTGTTAGTTGATCAGCAGATCGCTTTTCCGGGGCTAACAATTCCTTCCAAAATTCCCCCCCAAAATAATAATTGGTCACTTTAATCCATGACTCTGCTGTGCACCATTGGCTGCTGCTTTTCGCCCACAAAATAGTCAATTCACCTTACGGTATATTTTGTGAAGCACTTTTTGACGTCTCAAAGACGTGATAAAGTGCTATATCAAATACAAGGATTATTATTATATGGCATCCCATGCTAAAACATGACCGACTACCAGATCATCAGGTCACTGACGTCACGTCTTGGATGTTACATGCTATGGCAGAAAGCTCCGCTGATCTCACTTTGCAAAGTGGCATCAGCCGCTCTACTTGGACACAGCACACATAAGCACAGCACTCAGGAGGTGATGTGAGCAGCGTTTCCTACATCCAGCACTCAACGCACAGGGAAGCGATAAAACAACAGCAATCCAATGACCTAGAATCCAGCGAAGTTTTCCTTGCCGAGGCATACATCTTATTTGGTACAGAGATTTTTTTTCAAAGGCAAATCACACATTTTGAATTTTTTATACTGTGCATTGCCACTTACAATTGAAGAATGCATTGAAGTCTTCATCGTTGTCAAAGTCCACACGGGAATACTCGCAACTTGCGCTGTCAGTTTTAGAGGGAAAGCCAACCTGGTTGAAAGCAGAATTCATTCAATTATAAAGCACAATTATTTGCATGCATTTTCAATTGCAACAGTACAAAATAGGTACATTATTAAGACGAGAGCAGCAAAATGTTAGCAATTAGGCAATTTGTAATTAATAGCAGTGAGTAAACAAGAAGGCCCCAAGTAAATAAACTGACCCCAAACCTGCAACGAGACTGATCTCACAGCTGACTGCTATACAAAGAGTCCTTATGGGAGGTACTCTTCTACCCCCACCGTCTCACCCATCATTGAAGAGTTTTCTAACAAAGATTATAGGGTGACCCCCATAAGAATGTATTGCAATTGAGCATGTGTTTGCTTCCGTGGATCGATGCTATTCTGGCATGCTGGCTACTGGCACTGCCTAGCCAGCTTCCTACCCTAAAAAAGTGAGGCCAGCAGCACTGTGTGTAGGTGGTGCACAGGAAATGAATCAGTGCAACCTGATAACCGAGAGGTTGTCTTATTCTTGTACTTTGTTTTAACGCTGTGAGTCTTACGGTCTCAGATTACTGGGTTACAAAAGGGTTTCCTTGTTGTCAGTGGGATCCAAATAAAGATATAATTCTAACAGGAGACCAATATTTACGATTTACATTGAACATTCAGGAGACAAGTCAACAGGGAAAAGTTGATTACTGTTCAAAGGTTTCAAGGCCAAGTATTTCAAAGCATTAACACAATTTGGCCTTGACCACTCTCACCCCTTTAAAACCTCATAGGTAAAACCATACTCCAGCCCAAGTCATCACTGTTTTCAGAAAAGGAAATTAACAGGGAAGGAGAACAGTGGAAACATTTCAAGTCACATACCTTCAGGAGGTTAGCCATTGTTGCATGCAACAACTGTGGAATTATCTCCAGCATTACAGAATCCTTGGAGATATATTCATGTCTTAAAAATGAACACCAGGCTATCTGAGTTGACGATCTTAAATACTGGCGAGAAGAAAAATTGTAAGTAACTTATCGATTCTTAAGCGGCTGTTTTATTCCAGGTCGCACAAAACAATATTCCTTTAAAAATGATCCAGTTCTGGTCTTCTGTTAAGTTTGCTAAAGCACCATATACAGTCTCATCAATTGTTCATTCCATCACTATCAATCAGTGTCTGCTCATCACTACCCTCACTGAACATTAGGAAAACGAAAAGTTTAACTGAAACTAGGTGCAGGATGTTTGTAATTCAGGTAAGAGAACTGCCAAAAAGCAATTACACTACACGATATACTACACAATGCTTTAAGCAAATAGCACAAAGTACACTCAATAAGTAGTTGCATTTTCAGTTGTCTCATATAATAATATTGTACACAAGCATTACCAAGCAAAAATCAATATCCCAACAAAATAAAGATTGTACAATAAGACTGACAAAGTAAAATAAACAAATTACCTGGCTTGGGTGGTTGGTGAAAGCCAAGAATGCCTGTAAATATTTGCTGAAGTTGGGAGGTTGGCCAATGTCCTTCTCACCACCCTGGGGAATGATTTCCAAGTTAATGCGGAGCATACATTCTTAAGATTCATTGAACAAATCTACTTTTGATAGAAAAAAAACCCTGAAATACGTCTCCTAAAATCGGAGGACATATAATTTGTTTATTTTTCTACCAAGTTATTCTGGTCTGAAACGTCTGAGGATTTTCTCAAAACATTCATTTGCCTTGGTTTTAACCATACATCAATGCTGTTCTACTTGTCTATTTTAAGCTACTTGGCAGTGGATTAATTTTAACAAAGGTGTCCATTTTGGCTTCAGTAAGTACAGAATGGCTCCAAATCATAGCTGTAGCTTAAAATTGCCCCAAATTATACTATTGCACCAAGAACAAAACTGGCAACAATTGTGATCACTAAAAAGCAGCTTACACAGTGATTAATTACTAACAATTGTTTGGTTAAGTGTATTAATCCATCTATGAACCAAGTCCTAATACTGCTCTCAAGCTGCACATATAAACAGAGAGAGAGACAGACAGACACTCTCACAAGCTCATTTGAAACAGAGGAGACTTGACTTGACATACCCACAATGCAGTCAGTTGTCCTCCCAGAGCTGTGAGTAATTGACAAAGCCTTTTCAGGAACATATAGTGTTGTTCCACGAGTCCAGCTCCATGAGCAGTCCTGTAACAAGAAACACTGAACTCAGCAATGAAGATTTAGGACCAATCATCCTAAAACTGCTAATCTATCTTCATGACAAATGACTTTCAATTTCTAATAAAGGCTGAAGAGGCTCTGAAAATTAAAACATTAAGCCAAAATGTTAAAACCTGAATGCAGTTAAATTCCTAGTGTTCCCAGATACAATTAAAATAAAAGCCCAGCATCTTCTCATGTAGTGTTAAAACTGAAGACAATTGCGATCTTAAAAACATCAAAAACAAATCCCACAAAATATAACTTAAATACCAGTTCCTTCTCCCTCCATGGTGCTGCTCTGCACTCCTATCCTGCAACCTCAAGTACTCTCTTGATCTAGATTGAGATGCAAGAAACTGTCTGGGATCGAACAGATTTCTAATTTTCCTGCTCCAGTGTCAACTGGTATTCCTGTCCTAAGGGTATGCGTGTCTTGCAGCTAACAGTCCTTGGTTGAGCCAATCTGTGATGAATTAATTGATCACAATGGAGGAGAAGCAGTGTTACAGGCAATGGGAAGTGGGAGTGAAAATCAATCTGGTTTCATTTAAACAATGATTCACTGAGTGCGCCTGGATGTGAGCTGTACAGCAGTTCAGCTGGAATATTTGAGGCAACAATTTTGGAACAGAAAATTAAGACTAGTTGCAAGAAGAAAAACTCAAAACAGGTTATTTTCAGAGTTCTCAGCCCATCAGATCGGGTCATTAGTTTTCTGTCAAAAACAAAATCTGAGAACAAATATCTATTGTTTCTTGAAAGGAAAGAGGCTCAACATACTGATCGTGGAAAAATGTGAAACTACATATATATATATCTATATATTCCGTGAAGCGCTTTGAGACCTCTCGAAGACGTGATAAGGAGCTGTATTAAATGCAAGGATTATTATTATTATAATACAGGACTCTTTTCTGAAGTGGGCGGAAACTTACTGTGCGGCTGATAAAATGCAGTGCATTGCAGCATCACTGAAGAGAACCATGAATGGCTTACGATCCTCCAGCTTGCCCTACCAAAAGAAAGAATAGTCAACAACAACATTACATTTGTATAGCGCCTTTCACGTCAGAAGAATGTCCCAAGGTGCTGGACAACCAATGTTTTGGACCCAAACTGGGGGTCGGGAACGGGGAGGGAGGAGGGTGATCGAAGGCAAGGTCGAAGAGGAGAGTCTTAAGTCGGGTCTTGAAGGAGGCAAAGGAGAGGGCGAGGCGAGGTGGAGGGACTACAGGATGGAGTTCCAGAGTATGGGGGCTAGTGGCAGAAGGCCTGCCCGCTGAGCGGAGGGAGCGGGCAGGTTGGTAGGGAGTTAGAAGGCCGCAGAGATAGTGGGGAGCAAGGCCATGGAGGGCTTTGAAGGTGACGACCAGGATCTTGAACTGTATCCTCTGTGTGATGGGAAGCCAGTGGAGTCGGGTGAGGATGGGGGTGATAGGGTCACGGAGCCCGGTGTGGGAGAGGACACGGGCTGCAGAGTTCTGGGTGATCTGTACGGACTGATCACACAACTCAACAATTACTTCAGGTTGTTCTTTCATGTGGTATGCGAATGGTGGCAATTTGCTCACTCCCACAAACACGATCAGCTCCACAAATTTTATTCTCTCAACTGTTGGGCAACTCCCTGGCAACAGGTAAAGGAGAGATAATAATCCTTGCATTTGTTATAGCGCCTTATCACATCTTCGAGACATCTCAAAGCAGTTCACAGAATATACTGTTAAGTGAATTGACTGTATATTTTGTGGACGAAATGTGACAGCCAATTGTGCACAGCATTGTCCCACAAACAGTCGTGGATTGAGTGTCCAAATTATTATTATTATTTTTGAAGGAATTATTACCCCCCAGAAAAGCGATCCGCGAATCGACTAACAACTGGGTTCCTACTTACTGCTGGGCAAACAGAGGCGTGTGGAGTAAGGAAACTTACCCAACATTTTGCCCTGTTGGGGGGAATCGAACCCAGGACTCTCGCTTACCAGTCGAGTGCTCTAACCACTGAGCTACAGAATTCCACAGATGGACGAATGACAAAAAAAAACTGAGGGAAAAGGTTTATGTGACGATTGCCACCACAATGCTCTTATTAAACCCTATTCACTTTGACATGTGCTTGAATTAACAGTAAAGCACTCATGCCACTCCAACTTTCGAGGAAATAGCTAAACTCAGTTCTACATAAGTACATGAAGTAATAATTCAGCTGTACGTTCCCCAAGGTGGAAAGATTGCTTTGGGAATAAAAGTTCAAAGTAATTTTAAAGGTTTGGCTCCTAAAGTGCTAGACTTGTTGGATTCATTTCATAAATTGGATTTATGATATAATGCTGCATCCTTCACGCATTCAAAGACTCATTAACAAGGTGTCATATGACATTTGAGAGACGACTATAAATCCAGTTAATGAAAGTGATCCAACAAGTTTAGCACTTTAGGAAACAACCCTCAAGATTACTCTAAACCTCTTATTCACAAAGCAACCTTTCCACCAAGGAGAACAATACCATCTATTTGAGACGTGCCTCCAAAAGGCAACTGCCTACAGTGTACATCTATGTGGGAAACCACGGGTACAGATATTCATCCTACACCTTTTTGAAGTACGGGGGGGGGGGGGGGGAACTGCTTGGGATTGTGACCTGCATAAAACACTTGTACATAGTTACTAGAACAAAATAGAAAGTACAGTATTAACAAGTTAGTGCTCATTCACATAGAGAACCAGTCATTTACTGGTTCTGAGGTCAAAGTAGCCCTCCCCCCCTTCCTTTCATTGCAAAAGGTGGTAACTTTGCATAATTATATTACCTTCCTGATGACAGCGATGAGAAGACACTCAGCTGCCTCGAACTGGAATTCTGGTTCAGTTAATAACATGCACAGGACTTCCAATAGCTTACAGCCATCAGCCGTCAGGTGGTGTAAGCCAACCCAGTCCACATATCCAGCCATAGTGCTTAGAGTCGTGATGGCTACCCGACAATGTGACTTAGCCTGAAAGAAAAATGTTCATTTCAACTTGACTCTGAAGATTATACATTTCTGCTACTACATTGGGACAAATTTCACGCGCAGCCATTGTGTTTCGGCCATAAAATACAGTCACTACACTTTACAGCACATCCTGTGAAATGTTTTGAGCTGTCTCAACGACATAAGGTGCTATATCAAATGCAAGGATTATTATTACTATTGTATGAAACAAGCTAATTGCACACATTACCTTTTTGACACAATTATTTTTCCAATTACTTGCTCTAATCTCTACACTGAACCATCCTGACTTGGAATGTAAAGGCTTGCAAGCAGATCCATCTGGAAATAGTTCTAGCTAGCTACTATGAGCTGTGAAAGCAGCTCCCCTACGTTAGGCATAAGCCCCTAACCTCCACTTGGTATCAATCTGCATCCTAACATTAAGTGGCACAGAACATTCACCTTCCAAATACATCAATTTTGAAAAGTTAATAATTTATACAAGGAAACCTTTAAATCCAAACTCACCTTGTTTTCTTGAGTCGCATCTGCTTTCTACAAAAAAAATAAGATTTTTTTTTAAATATGAAGTTAAAACACTAATACAGGGCTCTTTTGATGGTCAAATAGGTAAAGCTACATTCACGGGGTGGAACAAGTCACACAGACTAAATGATCAGGGGTTCAATTCCTGAGGGTAGCACGAGCCACGTATAATTGGCCACAGTACCCTTACGATGGTAGATGACAAATAAGAAATTTCTGTAGGCGGCAGGTATCTATGGAATTCAGTCAATTTGGGACAACCTTAAGCATAATGATAGATTTCCACATGTGTCAAACCAAAAGAAAATTTTGTAGAAAAACAAAGATCATCAGGGTTCCTGGCAGTTGTTTTCTGAGTGTCAGATCATCTCTGATGACTCTTCCTGCACACTGCATTTGCAGAAACATCAACGATGTCGATTGCTGTGCACAATATGCGGGTAACACAATTTCCTGCGCATGTACACTGTATGCAAGAAAGCCACTGAGCTTGCTTCACAAAGGAAGCAACATCAACTGGGTTTCTTGCACATAGTGTGCATGTTCAGCGGGCAACTAACATCAATGGCAATTCCTAATCACAGCATGAACAAACAGACGTCACTGGCAATCTCACACTGTGTGTAACAAGTGACCGCATTTTAGCAGGGTTGCTCTTAGTGTAGTATATCAGGATGTTTTGTATAGGAATATATAGAAGCAAATAACATTGTGGTCCATCCGGCTGTTTACATTTGGCACAGAAAAAGGCTGCGAAAGGGAAAATAAAGTTTTAGGAGAATATTTCTAAATCTTTAGGAAATTCAATCTAAAGGGAGCTGCAACTTTTACACAAATTCTTCCTCAAAACGCAATAAGAATCATTGAAAATGATGGTAATTACCAGTTGTTTATAATTCTGCGTGTGCTCCTGCAGGATGTCCAGCAGGAAACCGAAAAGCTGGGACATGTTCTGAGTCAAGGCATGCTGGATGTCCTTCCTACGCTGAGCTGGGATAGTCTGGAATGTCACCACATCTTCCACCAGCCGCAAAAGGATCAGCATCACCAGTTCAGTCTGCGTCTCCTGATAAGAGAATCGAAATCAGCATTGAGTACAACTACAATTATTAGTGCTACCACTACTAAAAATTATCCTTGAATTTGATATAGCCCCTAATCACGTCTTCGAGACGTCTCAAAGCGCTTCACAGAATATACTGTAAAGTGAATTGACTATATGTTTTGTGGGCGAAACGTGGCCTTGAATCAAGTACAGGGGAAGAAATAACTGCCAGGTCTTCACATTGGAAAGGATGACAAGAAAACACACTTAAATATGACGATCATATTCACTAATCAAAACAAACTTTGTTTAATGTTAATTTAGTGTTCATTAATAGTAATATAATAATCCTTGCATCTGATGTAGCGCCTGATCGCATTGTTGAGACGTATCAAAGCACTTCACAGAATATACTGTGAAGTGGGAGTGATTGTGTATTTTGTGAACAACACGTAATGTGTTTGCAATTACAACTAAGCTAAAGAAAACAGTAAAACAATATAACCATTGCTTCTGAAATAAGTTTCCACCGAGTAGTAAAAATCAAACCTTTTTTAAAAAAAGAGTGAAAACTCTCCTTTTTTACCCCCTGGTGATCTGTTTTCTAAAGGCTATTTAAAACAGACATTTGCATTTCATTCAAAATAAAAACAAGAGAAAGCCATTCAACCTGTCAATACTGTTGCCACCACTTTATTGGATAATAAGACTTCTTAATCCCATTTTCCCACTTTTTCTCCAAACCCATTAGCACCCTTCCTTCCCAAGTATCTATCTCCCTTTGAAAATCCCAACTGATTCTGCCCAGCAGATTACGGTGTCCTGAGGAGTGCATTGAACAGTCACAATGCACCCTGTGTTAGGTACCATTTTCTGATCTCAACCAATTTAGCTCTATTTTTAAGATTTCATCCATTTGGTTTGAAAATTAAAAGGTACAGTAGATTTTCCCCCAAGGTCTTCATAAATAGGCATCAGTCAGTGAGCAGGTTAGATAGGGGGGAACCAGTAGATGTAGTATATTTGGATTTTAAAAAGCCATTTGACAAAGTGCCACACAAAAGGCTATTGCACAAGGTTAAGGCCCACAGGATTAATGGGAGCATGAGCATGGATTGAAAAGTGGCTAACGGGTGGAAAACAGAGAGTAGGGATTAACGGATCATTCTCGAATTGGCAGGAGATGTGACTAGTGGAGTGCCACAAGGATCAGTGCTTGGGCCTCAGCTATTTACAATTTACATCAATGATCTGGACGAGGACATTGAATGTAACGTATCTAAATTCTCGGATGACACTAAACTAAGTGGGAGAGTAAGCTCTGAGGATGATACAAAAAGATTGCAACGGGATATAGATAGGCTCGGGGAGTGGGCGAGTAGGTGGCAGATGGAATTTAATGCGGGGAAGTGTGAAGTTATTCACCTAGGTAGTAAAAATAGAAAAACAGATTATTTTCTAGAGGGGGAGAGATTAGATAGTGTTAGTGTTCAGAGGGATTTGTACACCAGTCTTGAAAAGTTAGTTTGCAGGTGCAGCAGCAACTAAGAAGGCGAACGACATGTTAGCGTTCATTGCAAAAGGTTTAGAGTACAAGAGTAGGGAAGTCTTGCTGCAACTGTATAGGGCCTTGGTGAGACCCCACCTAGAGTATTGTGTGCAGTTTTGGTCTCCTTATTTAAAAAAGGACATACTTGCCTTAGAGGGGGTGCAGCGTAGATTCACTCGGTTAGTTCCTGGGATGAGGGGACTGACCTATGAGGATAGGCTGAATAAACTGGGGCTACATTCTCTGGAGTGCTGAAGAATTAGGGGAGAACTTATTGAAACGTAAAATTCTTAAAGGGCTGATAAAGTAGACACTGAGGGTCTGTTTCCCCGGTAGGAGAATCTGTAACCAGGGGTCACAGTCTTAAAATTAACGGTCAGTCTTTTAGAATAGAGTTGAGGAAACATTTCTTCACTCAGAAGGTAGTGAATTTATGGAATTCACTATCCCAGAAGGCTGTAGATGCTCAGTCCTTGAACATTTTTTAAAAAATAGAGGGATTAGGGGATATGGGGATAGGGCAGATAATTAGAGTCAGGTCAGAAGATCAGCCATGATCTTATCGAATGGCGGGGTAGGCTCGAGGGTCCGAATGGCCTACTCCTGCTCCTAATTCTTATGTAATATGCTAATTTCAATCAATGACTCTCACTATAAATATATATTATAAATATATACCAATTAGTGCAGATGCTTGCGTTCCTAACTAGGTATGAGTATTTATTCATTATTATTGTTAATATTTACATTTGGCAATAGCATCTTTAACGCCAGGACCTACTGCATTTTGCAGGAGCCGTGGCAGCTAACTTGCATACAGCAATGTCCCACAAACACCCATAATTTTTTTTTAAAAAATCAGGGGACTGCTGACCAGGACACTTCTCTTTTCAAATATTGGATCTTTCAAGTCCACCAGAACAGGCAGAACTCAGTTTAATTTAACAAATCGTTTGAAGCATTATACCTCTAGACAACGAAACACACTCCAGCACTGCATTGGAGTGTCAGCCTAAACTCTATTGCTTCTATATCCTGAAGTGGGGGTTGAACCCACAACCTTCTAACTCAGAAGCAAGAGTACTAACAACTGAAACATTTAATACATTTTCAGTTTAATGAGTGTTGCTGTACATTTGGTTACTGTTCACACATTCATAAATCTTGAAAAAAAACATAGGAGTATTCCTATTAAAGCAGTTGCCTTCTCTTGTCAACCCAGAGGTGGAGACTTCTCTTGGAAGGGAGGAAAGTTCAGCAGTACATAGGTCATTGAAACAGATTGAGTGGGAACACAGAACACACTTGCACAAAGTGTACTTACCCCCATGGCTGTTAGCTTATCCATTTCATTGAGCATGTCTGGCCATTGCTGTGGCCATTCTCGCTTTATCATCTCCACCACAATACGGGAGAGTGCATCTTTGATGTAAGCCTCTTCTACCATAATATTATGTGTACCCTGGAAAAGAGAAGATTTAACTACCAGTAATCTTTCCACACGACTATCAACTCACTTTAGAGAACTGCACTGTAAATATTCATAGAAATATTTGACTTACTGCTCTCCTGGTATTAACAGTTGCTTTAGTTACTGAATAAATCAATACTTAACTGAGGAGCACTTACCTATCCTCAAAAACATCCAACTTCAAACAGGGCATTTGCCATATTCTAGCTGAAATGCTTTAAGCTACAGAAATGATCACTAATGGCCCAGCAATGTCATCTAGTAGTGTTCACAACAGACCAGGTCAGTTCTAGGGTTGTCCCTAGTTTGTCAAGCTAGCTGATCTTATTCGGTGCTTCCACATTGGATTTAGATACAGGATTGACATGAGGAGAAAATACAGTGCAGTCCGTTATAACACTTCTTTGATTAAAACATAGTTGCAGCCTGGACCCCCTTCACTACACACACGTGCAGCGATTACATGGTAAATTAGTCAACTTTCAAGTCGCTAGGTCACCACCAACATAACAGCCAACACTGCTTTCCATTTGTTGCACATGTGCAAGGTGTCACATGCCAAAGCTATAGTATTATGTGTACCCTCGAACTTTGCATGAGACAACTTACACGCGACAGGAGGGTCATTACACTGTTCTTCAGTTGAACCTTTTCTCTCTGCACCATGCCATTCCAGCGGAACCTAAAAGAAAAGCAATCCTTACTATATTTTTGTCTAAGCAGATGAACAATGAAGGGGTGGTCCCCTTTGAAGACTTCTGAACATTCAGGCAGTAAATTTGCAATGTTGCAATACAGAAATTGCATGAGCTCGTAACACACAACAACAACAAATTACATTTGTATAGCGCCTTTCAAATCATGAGGACGTTCCAAAATGCTGGACAGTCAGCGATCCACACCTGAGCTGGTGGTTGGGATCAGGAGGGATGAACGGTGGGAAGGTAGGGGTAGGAGGGCGACCAAAAGTATAGTCAAAGACAAGAGTCTTGAGGCGGGTCTCGGTCAAAGGAATAGAGCCACTTTATCCAATTCAAAACATTTCAGTATTGACACTTTTTCAAACAATTATTTCACAATGTGGGATGTATGGAATTCTCAGCTTGGTTTGGTTTGGTCAGCACCCGGCTTTCTCAAATTACACAACTGTAAAATAAATTTGAAGTCAGTAATTTGCTCAAGCCAAACTTTACCTTTAACTCGAGATGCATTATTGGAGTTGAAACTAATATTTTCAGTTCTCCGCACAACCGGGAAAGTCAAGATTGATTTCTGCCACATGATCATAGCCAAAACGGCAAAACGGTGATTGGTTTTCAGGAGGCTGGGTTAAAGAGGGGGAATTAAATGGCAGGAAAGTTCCCAATCAAATGATTGCAATAATACACCACATGTGGATACAACAGATGAGGATTTATCAAGCTCAGCTATAATTCACATTCCACTTGAATACCCTACCAGCACAATAAAAACATGCAAGATAGCTGCGGCTGCCAACACCTGTGAAATTATGCCCCAGCGTGAGTTACAACTCCAGGAGAGGAACAAAATAAATGATAAAAGCTGGAGGAAAAGGAATTACAAACAAATTCAGATCTGCTCCATATTCTTCATGACCTTAAACTCAATGTAGATGACAGCAGGCTGGTGTGCAGGCTTATTTTTAGCAATAAATTTCAAGACAAAATCACACCTGCCCACAAATCATCTGAAATTAAAGCTTGGGCAGAATCCATTAGAAATGGCAGAGACTCACTTAAAGGAAAACTGCTCAGTGTTTTTTTTTTCCTCCAAGCACCTAGTAACAGCAGGGACACCTGGGCAGGGTCCAAGCTGTGTGTGTGCATGTCAGGGAAAAATAGGATTGAGCTCAACTGCATTCTCCCTGTAAACTCACAACAAAGACGGAGGGTTATAACACTAAGGTTGCAGAATGACAAGATGGAGTGGACGGGTGATAAGAGTAGTAAGTGGGTACAATTTTTTAGTCTGTCGCACAAAGGTACAATTTTATATGGCAGGTATTAATAGAAGAGGCTCCCCTCCATGATTAAAAATATGATATTTGAATGGAAGACAATACATTAACCTAGCAAAGAGATATTATGAGACCAAACAACCGTGACAGCAATAGCAGCAAAGTACGAGACAACCTTTCTGTCTCTTGAGGCACCAAAGATTCTTGCTGGCACCCCTGAAAACATGACCCAATTACACAGAGTAACAAAGATCTTGGTGGCAGTGGTTGTCATGTTGCTTGCCATTAGTATAGTTCTCAGCCTGTTTGCAGCTTTCAAACTACTGCTTAGTTAAAGCTTTTCCAGCCAATGCAGGAACCACATTACTGAGTCCGCTACAGGGGGTTGACTTGATTCTGACATTCGGTTGCCAAGCATGTCAACTTGGGAGTCAACTCTGTCCCAAAATGAACACAGCTTATCTCACCCCCAACCCAGCCACACCCACCAACTCCACCCAAAGACTGGTTGGTCATTTGACAAAAACAACAACCTGGGCCCCTCAAGTAGGGTAGCTTCCCAGAGCGCTTTGACATCTGACAAGCACATGTTTGAGCCCTCATTCTGTAGATGTCAGGTACCAGGAACTCCCTTCAAGCTTCCTGGTAAACAGCACGGCTCAGCACGAAATGTGTGAGAACGTTGACACCTTCCTCCTGCTCACAGCTGACATACATCCCTACCCATTGAGCGATAGTTCCAACAGTTTGAGGTGCTGAGCTTGGGTACATACAAATACTCATTCAATTTACTGACCTATCTGTGATATTGATATTGATCTGAAAGTACAAGTTTATCATGTTTAGAAAAGATGTTATTCTCTTCACACAGCAAAGCTTAATATTTCAGACTTGAAAACTATGAATCCCATTTGATAAAGTAATATCTTTACAAGGTGTACTTCAAAAAGGGAATTTTCCTATTTAAAATAAACTGCTATGAACCCAACAGAATCTTCCACCAATTCCAAGTCAAGAAGCTAAAACAGCAAATTCCGTGAACTATCTAAAAGTTGTCTTGTGCATGAATGACATTTTTAAACTCAGTACCAAGAGAAATAGGGAATTGTTTCCGACAGAAACAAACGTTAACGATAAGCAAAGCACTATCATTGATGGTCAGAAACGATACAGGATGTCAGTGTTTTGCAAAAGTCCTTTTACTTCAGCTGCAGATAGAAGTCGTTCAGGTATTTCACTTACTTGATCGAATGTTCCAAAATCTGAAGTCCAAAGTGGCGGACAATTCCAGTGTTGTTTTTCTCAGCCAGGCGCAACCCACACTGTACAGTTTGTGGACATTTCTCCTTGAACTCCTCGCAAAACTACATTAAAGACAAACAGTGAAAAATTGAGTAGTGTCACAAACATTGTAAAATGATGAATCTAACAATCTGAACTAGCAACAAAATACATCTGTATTTCAGATTTTTTAGTAGTAATGAGAAGAAGAATCCTTCATTTGATATAGCACCTTATCGGGTCCCTTTTGCCCAATTACTTTCAAAGCCATATGTACATGTTGAAGAGGGCATTCTGGTGGTAGAAAGCAACAGGGACAATCCACAATTGACGAGTCCTGCTGGACTGCTTCATAAAGGTCATCATAAGAAGTATGCATTTTTATAGCATAGCACCTTATCACTTCCTCGGGACATCTCAAAGCACTTCCAAGAATATACTGTAAAGTGAACTGACTGTATATTTTGTGGTTGAAACGCGGTAGCCAATTGCGCACAGAACGACTGAGATTGACAGACTCAATCTCAGTCATGGATTGAGTCTCCAAATTATTATTTTTTTGAAGGAATTATTACCCCCGGAAAAGTGATCCGCCAATCAACTAACAACCGGGTACCTACTTACTTCTAGGTAAACAAAGGCACGTGGAATAAGGAAACTTGCCCAATGTTTACCCTGTCCAGGAACCAAACAACACAACTTGCACTTACATAGCCCCTACATGCCCGGCAGTGCCTCAGAGCGCTTGAAACCCATGTCCTCTTGCTTTCGAGGCGACTCTAACTTCTAAGCTACAGGATTCTAGAAACTAGATTAAACCACTATATTCTGACATGATTAGAGCAGATGGAGTCATCTAATAAGAGCCAAAACGTAGGCAGGGAACTTCACTCTACTGCCAAAATGTGGCAGTAGATCCAAAAACTTTGTTGAGAAGCAGTACCAGCATTTATTTATAGCATTTTAGTGTTTTAAGGGTCAACGAGGAACAATCACAAAATGCTGCCGTGAAGCAGTTAAATAAATAGCCATATAAGATGTGGAATATTAGAAGTCTAGAAGACATCCAGCTGATAACTTTTGCAAGCTTTAATCTCAATTTGCCCATCATTTGAACTCCTTTACATTGCTGTCTAATTCAATGTCAGCTGTCATGATGAATCATAAATTACAGAACCACAACAACTTGCTTTTTTATAGCGCCTTTCACATTGGGCGGACATCCCTAACCCAATAGAATCCATTTTAGCAAATATCTTTTAATTATTTTAAAATTTGTAATTGTAGGATTTCACTGGTAAAATATTTTGAAAAATAGGACAATTATTTTAAGTGCCAATTTCTGAGGAAGATTTAAACCTCTCTCAGAATACCATAAGATTTCTTTTTGCCAAAAAGATTTAAAAGAGCAAACGTTTCAATAAGGCGTGAACTAACAAAGGGACTCAAAGGGCTTTATTTAATAAAGGCAGCGCCAATCTGTCAAAACATCATTGCTGGCTCTCCAGACAGTGAATGATGATAAGTTAAATGCTGAAAGTACAGAAGGAAAGAACTTTCCTGTCTTCACTTGATGTGCATATACATGCGCTTTCCAAGATCAGGAAGTGGAAGTATTTTTGCTACACTTTTTTTTTTAACCCTAGGATACAGAATGTGCATGGTTTTATCTAAAAGTTACCATAAAACTTATCGCAAACCAGGAACGCATCCATTTTCCACATGTTTGTGGAGAGCCAGATGTGTGGCATGTGTGGAAAACCATCACTAAACTCAAAAGTATTCAAATAAAACATATGGAAATTACCATTTGTCTGTTATGGAGTGCACATTCACTCCCCAGAGGGAAACATTCTCCTTTACCCAAGTCCAGAGAGTTTAGCTAAGGCTTGGGGATACTTGGGCATACGCTGCAACTACCGCAGGGGTTTAACCAGAAGATCAACTCAATTCCTATATTCTATTGCCAGGCATATTTCATTGGATCCAGCGCAGCATCAAAGATACCTCCCCCTATCCTCAGGTGAATTTATCACAAGCCCCGTTTTCAACCGGAATCCGTAAAATGGATCAGGGATTGCCAAATCTTGATCAATCAGAAGATCCCCAACAAGGGATATAGAACCAACAACCTCAACTGTCGTCTTACCTAAGATTAACTAACTTAATAGGCCTGGACATCTCCTGGTCCATAAGGCTCAGCATCATACTGTTTTTCATCTTTTCAATGATCATTTAAAATACATTTCCATTTCCAATTATTTTTTTGAAGTGTAACGTAATAGACAACTCGACTTTTGACTTATTTTCTTCACAACCTGCATCTGAATGATCAAATCAGGCTGGAGAACAGTACACTAAAAATCTAATTTTTACAATTCATATATTTATTGTTGTGAATGCAAAAGCAATAAAAGCCGTGCAACCCATCAAGGTAATTAAAGAGAACACCTATTCCCACATAAAATGAATTGGTTATAAACATTAATTTTTATAGATTTACAATAACACCGCTAAAACAGAATTTGACCTACAAACCCAATGGTCAAGTTTCAACTACTTTCCCTTACATTTTATCTAATGTCACATGAAGCTAAACTTGATACAGGCTGAAGCACCTTTCACTGCTTTTCAACAATGTACTGCTTTTCAACAATCAATGGTTTTCTTGCCATTTCTCATATCTCAGCTATCCGCCCAGACCTTTAATTTGCATCTCAATTCACGCATCAGCTAACCCTGGTTCTCATTTGTGCCACAAAATTGTGGTTGCACTGCCGAAAATGAATTCACATAGACTTGCGGACGGGATAAAGCGCTTCATCAAATGCAAGGATTATTGTTATAGACTTGTTTGGGGGCACCATCAGGCTTCGAGAATCTGACCCAAGTTCCAGAGAAGACTGCGTGTACAGTACCACATAAACAACAAAACAAATTACATTTTGCACAGCGCCTTTCCCACACGCTGCATTTTCCGAGCAAACTGCTCGGGTTTTCAATTTCTGACCAACATACATCACCACTACAGGTATTAAATTTAACCAGACTGTCCCTTGCCATTTGTTGAAGATGCAAAACACTCAATAAAACCAACCCCCCCCCCTCTGGAGCGGAGTACAATTCAGCGAGCTTTTTCGTTCGTGTTATATTTTTTTAATAAGGGAGCCTTTTTTTAAAAAAAAAACTTTTTTTGAAAAAAACCTTGCTGTGGAAGTTCTCTCTGTTCCTTTTCGTGCAAGGGGTGGGGGGGGCAAAACAATATATATATATATATATATATAAAAAACTGGATGGGTAAAAAAAAAGTAGACAATATGGCTCTTTCTGAATAAAATGGAGGTATAAACAAACGAGTGGTGAAAGCGATACCCCGACATGACATTAGGGGTGAGAGGAAACGCCAAAAAAGGATCTGAGGAAAAATGCAGGGCTTTTTTTTTTGGCATCTTCTTTTTTTTTCCCCCCTCAAAAAAAAAACGAGAAGAAAGGGGGGAATGAATGAGAGAGAAAAAGGGGAGAGCAGGATGGAGAGAGAGAGAGAGAGAACTACCACAATGGCAGAGGAGACCGCCTTGTGATGTACAGCACATCAAAAAACACACACACACCACACACAGACACACACACCACACACAGACACACACACACCACACAGACAGACACACCACACACAGACAGACACACCACACACAGACACACACACCACAGACACACACACCACACACAGACACACACACCACACACAGACACACACACACCACACAGACACACACACACCACACAGACAGACACACCACACACAGACAGACACACCACACACAGACACACACACCACACACAGACACACACACCACAGACACACACACCACACACAGACACACACACCACACACAGACACACACACACACAGACACACCCCCACACACAGACACACACACCACACAGACACACACACCACACAGACACACACACAGCCATTTACTCTGACCTGAACCCCCGATGGAAATCAATGAAGCGAATAGTTATTGCTTTGTTTTTGTTTGGTTTTTTGGGGTGGGGGGGGAGGGTGTGCATTAAATCGTCTGCTGATGAATGGGATGTGTCTGTGTGTGTGGGGGGGGGGGTGTGTGGGGAGGGAGGGGGTGTGGTGGGGTGTGTGTAGTGGGGGTGTGTGTGGGGAGGAGGGGTGTGGGGTGTGTGTGTGTGTGGGGGGTGTGTGGTGGGGGGTGTGGGGAGGTGGTGTGGGGAGGGGGGTGTGTGGGGAGGGTGTGTGTGTGTGGGGGGGGGTGGTGTGGGGGGGCGTGGTGTGGGGGGGCGTGGTGTGGGGGGGGTGGTGTGTGGGGGGGTGGTGTGTGGGGGGGTGGTGTGTGGGGGGGGTGGTGTGTGGGGGGGTGGTGTGTGGGGGGGTGGTGTGTGGGGGGGTGGTGTGTGTGTGGGGTGTGTGTGTGGGGGGGGGGGTGTTTGGGGGTGTGGGGGGGGTGGTGTGTGGGGGGGGTGTGTGTGGGGGTGTGTGTGTGGTGGGGGTGTGTGTGTGGGGAGGGGTGTTTGGGGGTGTGTGTGTGTGGGGTGTGTGTGTGTGTGTGGGGGGGTGGTGGGGGGGTGTGGGGTGTGTGTGTGGGGGGGTGTGTGTGTGTGTGGGGTGTGTGTGTGGGGGGGTGTTTGGGTGTGTGTGTGTGTGGGGGGGGTGTTTGTGTGTGGGGTGTGTGTATGGGGGTGTGTGTGTGTGGGGGGGGGTGTTTGGGGCTGTGTGTGTGGGGGGGGGGTGTTTGTGTGTGGGGGGGGCATGTGTTTGGGTGTGTGTGTGTGTGTGTGTGTGTGAGAGAGTCACACACAACATAACAACAGCACGCACAGCCTAGCAACCCGTTGGAAAAAAAATAAGGCCTCTCTCTCTCTCTCTCTCTCTCACCACCGCACACACACACACACACACACAGTGTGACCCAAGAAGCCGGTGGGGGCTTCCAAACCGTAACGGTGAAAGAAGTGAGAGAGATAAACAATATATATATATACATAATATATAATATACATAAATATATATATATATATATATAGAGGGCCTTCGGTAGTAACACACACACAACACACAGAGGCAGTGAGAGGGAGGAGAGAGAGGAGAGAGGGGACCGGACCGCTCGCCGCTCACTCGCCTTCAGGGCCTCCAGTCGGTAGCGTGAACTCGAGCCTCCGTCCATGATCACGTTTACCGCCTTCATCAGCTGCTCGCACAGCGTCGTGATCTGCTCGCCCGACATGGCTATGAACCGGGGTTTTTTTGAGCCAGTGTGTGTGTGTGTGTGTGTGTGAGGGGGAGGGAGGGAGGCGGGAAGGGGGGGAAGAGGGGGGGGGGAGGGATTGGGGGGGTGGGGGGGGGGGGGGGAGAGTCGGGAGTTTCCGAACCGTTGGTATAGGGGGAAAAGAGCGAGGAAGAAAGAAAGAGGGAGGGAGGGGGGGAAGGAAAAAAAAAAAGGGGGGAATCGACCGCGGGGATGAACAAAGAGAGGAGAGAGAAACGACCGTCACCCCCCGATGGCGCAGCGTCTTATTGTCTGAAACACCGGCGGCGCGGAGGGGGCCGTCGGTTGGCGAGAGAGAGAGAGAGAGAGCGCGAGAGAGAGAGAGCGAGAGAGAGACGGCGTCTGCGCACGCGCCTGACCGAGTCACACAGCGGCGTGGTGGTGGGGAAGGGGAAGGGGGAGGGGCTGGGTTGGGGGGAGGGGGGTGGGGCGTGATCAGCGTCAGAGAGGGCGGGGAGAACCGTTGGGAGTTGTAGTTCGCGCGCGCTTCCCTCGGCCCCACCCCCTCCCTCCCCCCCCTCCCTCCCTCAGCCCCAGTTCCCGGGAATCCTGGGAATAGCTGGCGCTCCGCGTGACACGTGACCACCGGGCGGACTACATTTCCCAGGATGCGAGGCGGCCCCCTTTCGGCTGAGGCGGGCGGACGGCTGCGCGTGCGCCGATCGAGGGCTGTGACGTCAAGGTGTCCTGCTGGAGGTACCCAGGTCCAGAGGGAGGATGATGGATGCTCTTCACAGCCCATGGTGGTGGTGGTGGGAGGAGAGCTGTTATCTGTCTAAGCTTTATCCCCACCTCTCTCCCCTCTCCCCCCAACCACCATCCCCCCCCACCCCCCCCAACCAACCCTTTTCCAGATATTTATCAAATTCCCTCTTAAAAAAAAACTTAACGCACTCTGGATTTCTGCCTCCACCTCCTCGCTCAGCAGAAGGCATTTCACTCGCGGAGAATCGGGGAACCAACCGTACAGCGCAGGAGGAGGCCATCCCCGGCCCGTCGTGTCCCTGCCGGCCCTCCGAAGGGAGCTGTGCAAATCCATCCCGCTCCCCCGCTCTCTCTCTCTCTCCCCGTTTTTCTTTTTGTGGAGTCCTGTAGCTCAGTGGTCAGAGCACTCGCTTTGCAAGTGAGAGACCTGAGTTCAATTCCAGGCAGAGGGCGAAACCTTGGGCAAGTTTCCTTACTCCACACAGAGCCTAATAATAATCCCTCCAAAACCAAAAACAATAATAAATTGGTCATTTTCAATCTACGACTGTTTGTGGGACATTGCTGTGCGCAATTGGCTGCCGCGTTCGCCCACAAATATACAGTCAATTCACTTTACAGTGTGTTCTGTGAAGCACTTTGGGACGTCCTCCCGACGTGAAAAGCGCTACATCAAATGCAAGGATTATTATTATTATTATTATTTTCCTCCTTCAAGGCCGGTCTCAAGACCTTTCTCTTCGACCGTGCCTTCAGCTCCCCCTCTCGACCTTCTACCCCCTCCTCGCTCCCTCCCTTCCCTCACCCTGACCATTTCCCCCCTGCTCGGGTCCTGACCCAACTGTCCACCGCTTTGGGACGTCCACCCGACATGAAAGGCGCTCTATAAATGGAATCTTGTTGTAGCCCCGCAAACTTGTCCTCCCCAAATAATTATCTGCTTTTCCCCCCTTGAAAGCTGCCACCTCTTGAATCGGCTGCCGCCACCCTTTTCAGGCAACGCGTTCCAGATCCGAACAACTCGCTGCGCGAAAACATTTCTCCCGCCCTCCGTTTCGTTGAACGACTATTTTAAATCGGTGCGTTCGGGTTTACTGACCCACCCACCAGTGGAAATTGTTTCTCCTTGTTCACCCTATCGAATCCCCTCATAATTTTGAAAGCTTCTGTTGAGTCTTCTCTTAGCCTTCTCTGCTCCAAGGAGAATAATCCTCGCTTCTCTCGCCTCTCCTGATAACTGAAGTCCTAACAAATCTCTATTAAAGATTGTTGGCCAGTTCACTAGAAGTTGCCTTTTATTTGTGATGAATAATGTAAAATATTTAACGTCCTTGTCAACAATCCTCTAAATAAGGATGATTGAGGAAATGGAGGAACTGGACTACCAGAAGCGATCAGGTAAACTGGCTATGTTCACACCAGAGAAGAGAAGTTTGAGGGGTGATATGATTGTGGTCTTTTAAGATCTGAAGGGATTAGATAATGTAGATCATGATGAGGTTGTACTGAACAGTAGAACTGGAGGACATAGCCTTTGATTGAAGAGAGGTAAATTCAAAACAAATCTGTAGAAACACAACTTCAGTGAGCAAGTAATAAGTGTATGGAACGGGCTCCCTAGGGAGACATTGGAAGCAGAAGTGTTGTTTGTTTCAAGAACAAATTAGATAAGATTTTCTGTTAGGAAATAATATCTCGGGATACAGTATGTAGTTTGGGACATGACATATGCACGTGACTGGAAAGATGGTGAACATTTGCAAAGATGGATGGACCTTGGACTTTTTTTGGCCAGCAATTCTTATGTAGGCAAATTGTTTATTCACCTCATGGCTCTTTGCTGTGCGTAAATTGGCTGCTGTGCAGCACACAACAATAATTACCTGCAAACCATTTTCAGACATTTTGACATTAGAGGCAATATATTAAATGGAAGGACCATCAATACTATAACCTGCTTGCAAGATCTGCTGATCTCAAGCTAACCACTGGGAGACACCCAAGAGAGCACCAGACAGTAAAAGCCGCATGTCCTTCTTTATTAATAGAACCATAGAAATTTGCAATGCAGGAGAAAGCCATCATGTCTGTGTTCTTTGAAAAAGCAATCAATTTAAACTCATTTACCTACTCTCTTCCCCATACCCCTGCAAATGTTCCTTTTTAAATATCTATCTTGTCCTTCGAAAGCCAATACTGATTCTGCGTTGACCACATTGTTCAGGAAAGAAACAAAAAAAAACTCATGACCTCTAAAATATTCTTGGATTACTTAGTTCCACATGCCTTTTTAATGACAGTGATTCTATATCGTAAGGAGCGGAAATAGACATTTCCTCAAAGCAATTACAGTTAACAATACTTCATTGGTTAACTCCTTCAAAGAAGAATGGAATTGGCTGACATGAACAAATCCTCCACAGGATACAATGATTTCTGTACTGGTCGGTCAATTCTGGGTCAGATAACAAAGCTTGCAAACACAGAACTGGTATTTAACCTGTATCTAATGCCATGAAAATGTTTGGGGAAAAAATCTGAGTTTTTGTCTTGTTTTGATACCTTGCTAAATGTAGATAGTGAGCATCGGCAGTGTATGTAACCCAACTGGAAGGTCAGTTGTAGTCAATTGCATTGTTTTTGTTTGATTCTCAACTATGCCTTAAACTCCACATATGTCCTCTAACCTGTCATGACTCTGCATCCTGCCTCATACCTCCCTGCCTGTTCTTCTCTGCGCTGCCTCATACCTCCCGCTCCGTCTTGTGCCTTGTATGTGCAATGTGCTATGTGCAATTGACTGTCCCGTTTCGCCCAGAAATATAGTCAATTCACTTTATAGTATATTCTGTGAAGCACTTTGAGATATCTCGAAGACGTGAAAAGCGCTATATCAAATGCAAGGATTATTATGAGAGGCCGCGTGGAGAGTGACAGTGCCTTGGGACGTCCTCCTGACGTGAAAGGCGCGATACAAATGTAATCTGTTGTTGTTGACAGGAAGAGAGCCGGAGATATAAGGCAGCACAGAGACAGATGGGAAGAGAGCCGGAGTGGAATATATGAGGTAGCATGTGGAGCGACAGGAAGGTGACCCATCACAATTGACCCATCACTCCAGCCCACCCCCACCCCCCCATTGGAAAAAACCTGGCTCCACCGCAACCTGCAGCATGAATATTGTTGAAGCTGCTGAATATACCAGACTAACCGAACTGAAGGGAAGAAAACTGTTCTCAGGGAGATCAAATAGACAATGAGTTATTTATTACGGCTTTATAATAATAGTAATCCTTTCATTTGATATAGCGCCTTAATATGTCTTCTAGACGGCTCAAAGCGCTTCATAGAATATACTGTAAAGTGAGTTGAATGTATATTTTATAACACAATTTCCATTTACTTCCAGATATTGCATCAGCATTTACTACAGTTCCTGTAATAATCTAATAAAATAGTATTGTGCTGTTTAACTCGCACTTGCTTACCACAGGAAAGATAATGAGTTTATTCCTCTTCTTGGGACATCCTCCCGACGTGAAAGGTGCTTTACAAATGTAATTTTGTTGTTGTTGTTGGTTTGCGTTTGATTTTTTTTGTGTGAAAGATGAACATTTTGGCCTCCACTAGGTGGCATCCACTGATAGATGTTGGAACTGTACCTGAATCCAACTTCACAGAGACTATTTGAGTACTGAATGTTTTTTCCTTTTTAAGAAATTTTGTTCTTGTTTGTTTTTTCCAGGACAAGGCATATTGGAGTCCATAGCGTATTAGTTAGAGAACTCACCTCGCAAGCGAGAAGACCTGTGTTCATATCCCGGGCAGGGCAATACCTTCTCAGTTTCCTTACTCCACTTGCCACTGGTTACCTACCGGTAAGTAGGAACCTGGTTGTTAGTCGATTGATGGATCGCTTTCTGGGAGTAAAAATCTGCTGTGTCACTAACAATAATGTCTCAGAGAACTTCACAGAGTCGTGGTTGGATACTAAGCAAAAGAGGAAGCTGAGTCGAGAGATAACCATAAGCACAGTCCAGCTTACTGAGCCAGTCTAGAATCTTGGCATCTTGTGTGGCCCTCAACTATCCTTTCTATCCAACACTTGTACCACGACCCACTCTGCTTTCCCCAACTTCTGCAACATTTCCTGGCTCCGCCACTGTCTCACACCGCAGGCCGCTGAAACCCTCATACACGCATTCATAACATCCAGGCTTGACTATGCAAACTCCTTGCTTATCAGCCTAGCCTCCCCAACTCCTCCCTCCATAGGCTGCACATCACCCAGAACTCTGCAGCCGGT